GAGTGAATTTATCATTTAGTGTAACTTTATATTGCATTTTCAACTTTTGGACACGATTTTCATATTGCAATGGTAATCCGCATGAATAATTTTGATATTTTATTTTATTATAAAATAATAAAAGGTAGAAAAAAAATATTTTTTGTACTAAAGAATTTTTGAATGACGCTATGTTAGAATCATTTCTTGTATTAAATTCTAAACATTTGCTTTTGAATAAAATATCATGTATGAAACTTCTTTTTGAAGATTAATTGTGCAGTGAGTGAAAAAAATATAAAGACAACATTAAATTGAGCGAAAATATGCCTTATTTTAATTTCATCTGAATGAAGCCTTATAAGTTTGACTTCTGTTGCATAACTTTGTAATAACTCTTCATAGCGCATAAAAAATAAAATTTTGCTACAAAATATGAATTTTACAAAACTCAACACTAACGGATAGATGGAAAAAAGTAATAGGACATGCTCTGCAATACTTAAAATGTTCGTCAATAATCAAGAAAACTACCTTTTTTTACAATCACTTGAATAAGCCGAGTGATCAAGATCCTGAGAAATCTCTTAAAATGTCCACGAACATTTTTTCCAAAGCGTCTTTTATAGCGAAGACAAGATACACTTTGCATTGATATTGTGCGCCATTTTTAGAAAATTCTCGGGCTAGATGTCCCTATGAGTTTTCGATTAGATTAAGATCGAGACTCTTCGACAAATAAATTAAATTTACAGAATTAGCTTTAAACCAGAGTTTTGCGCTCTTAGAAACGTGCATCGAAGCATTATCCTGTTGAAAAATATAGTTCACTGAAGTAATCAGTGGCGTTTCAGAGGTAACAAACCCTAACATATTAAAATATTTGCCGAAATTTATTTTACTTTTTGAAAAGGACTGTTGGAGTTGCCCAATTTGCGATAAAAGCGCCCCAAAACGTCACTGAGCCACAACCATATTGACGTTTGGAAAGCAGGGAGCATAATACCATAAATTTGTGCGATGTTCTTCTTGAAAGTATGCGTAATACAGTAAAGTAAGGAAAAAAAAGGTATTAAGCACAAAACAAAAAGGCAATTTTTTAAAGCGTAGTTCGGCAATATTTTATTTGTATGATTAAAGTTGTCTCAAAATGAAGTCAAATGCCGTAACTAGGCTATTTTTTTTTTCAAATTTATTACAATTATATGTTCAGAAATAACCAGATTATGATGATGTTTGCAAACAGTTGATGTTGTGATTCCCATAACGCACTTATTGGTGTCATGGGAAAGTAAAACTCATTCATCCGATGGACTCACTTCACCATGTCATACTAGTATGATGTATATGTGGTTGGCTAATTAAAAAACCCGACTCTTTGCAAATATCGCTGGCCTTTCTCAATACACCGAGCTAATTGGAAAAGTCTTCTGTATTTTCTAATCTGCCTGATAATTTTCACGCTTATTAAATTCAACCTAAATACATTTAGGACTATTAGGAAATCTGCGAAGAATATATCAGTGAGACTGAATTTTCTACGACCTTTTGAAATAAACCTTTAATAAGGCTATTTACCCTCACTAATCTAGGCTTGTTGCAAACTGACTGAAGTAAATCTGGCAAATTTAGCAATGGGTGATGTATTTTCAGTTACCCTGGTGCATAGCAAAATGATGGCGGTTGCAAGAAGCCGAATTATTCAATTAGCATACAACATACAAAAAATAAGCAAGAATGAATAATTTTTAGAAAGTGACAGTTAAAATGTGTGTCTTCCGTATGATGGCATAGCTGTCTTTTTCTCATTCAATATAAAATCTAACATTAAAGGTCCTTTTTCTCATTTAATATAGAATCTAATATTTAATGGTTTTGCAGGAGCGTGAGCTGTTTTTGATGATTGCTTCCCTGTTACTTAACTATCAATAAGAAAGCAATTATTTAACATTTATTTTATGAACTGTTATAACAGCAAAAGTATATTGTTAAAAATACCTTTAACTAATACGTAAATAAAAAATGGGTAAAAAACTCTTTGCAAGATTGACATCATATTTCAAATAAATGCGCCATACTTAGAGTATGACAACTTGGAAAATAATCGATTTCATACTCTTTTTAAAAGCTCCATCCTTTTTGAAAGGTCATTCTTAACTTCGGAAAGTTACTGAGAGCTTGTCAGAAAGGGGGGTAGAGTATCTTGACTTGTTTGTCTGAGGCAAATCCTTCTCTTCACCTCCCAAAAGATCCACCAATTCAACGTTTCTGTTAATCACACGAAAAACGTTCCTTTCGTTCACAAAATCCCATCGATCAGCCAGAAAGACATCGCTAACAAATAATGTTCACGCCTCGTACATCTTACTTGTGATCTCCTCAATCACGCTTTTTACACCCAAATTATTGGACGCATTCCAAACTATGCTATAATCATTCCCATTTGCACTATTCTATTGAATTTATCCGCAACGGAACAGTGCTGTTTCTTTAAAACAGCTTTATATTGTTTTTAAGAAATCCATTCCAAAGAATAAGTTTTTCTTGTTTCCAAATGAACCTATTGAATCAAAAGCGTTAAATTTCAAGTGGTAATTACAACCTTAAGCCTTGCTCTAATCCCGAGATTTTGAAACCTAATTATCGTATTTCTGGTATCTTTAAACAAGCTTTTGTTTCTTCTCTAACATTTTTAAATTTCTGTCTAGTTAGCAATTTCCTTTTCAAATTAAACGGTATTTTAAAGAATTAGAAGAATTTCATAGATGTGTGAATATTTGTTGTGAGCATTTTAAAATTATTTGTTTCTTCTATATTTGTTTTATTTTAATAGGTATTTCAAAAGTAGTGAATTTGTTAAATAAAAATTAGGCAACAAACTTTAATGTTACTTTTATGTCGAGAATTAAATGCACTTTTAACATCAGATATGAAATAATTTTATTCTTATATATCTAACAAATGTTAAAGATGCCCGCCCTTTTCTTGCAAATTTAGTTTGTCTGCAATTTTCTTTTATTAGCACCGAGTTTAAAGTAACTTTTGTCAGTTTAGCAAAGGCAAATCTTAATAATTCATTTTAAGGTATTATTCTTCTAATTGGTTCCGTGAATATGCCAAATTTCTGCACATATCTGCTATTCACTGGGCCAATTCCCAGTGCAAAAATTATCCCGATTCCCTAATCATCCCCTTTATATTCTCAGTGGTGTATGGTGTGCCAGTGCTATGTAAAGCAAGCAAAAAGACGGTCATGCCTCAGTTTTTTGAGTAAGAAGCACACGCAAACAATGAAATTCACGCAAGTAACAAATACGTGCAATTAATAAACGTCTTGAATGTACTTCAAAATTATTTTCTCCTTTTTTGTGAAGAGTCTACCTTAAATTTTTTACATCCTGTTTCTTTCCCTTAATCTCGAAGAATACACTGAAAAAATCGTGGAAAGAAAAGTGTAACAGTTGGTTGTTTTTTATCACGTAAAATAATGGGTTTTCGTATATACGCTTAAGCAGTGTCAAAAGAAATGATGTTCAACTTTTTTGATGTTGCCTGGTTTCCAGAAACCGTCATGCCTAAACCTGTGTTGGGATGGTATTCATGTAAATTTCTCTTTTAATTATTAAGCATATCATTTCTTGTATTATACGTCATAATAACAAACTAATCTATAAATCATGAATGTTTAAATTGTAGACAATCGACTCCATATCGCTGTAAAATTAAAATGACATTCTTGAAACTATTCCTTTACTTTTTATGACATTTTTATGAATATAAAGAAAAAATTCTGAAAATACATAGAACAGTTCTCAAGAAAAGGAAGAGATAAAAAAGAGAAGTATTTTTATTCCCAAATTGAAATTTTTATGTGACAAGATTGCATTGTTTTTGTTGTGTAAATTACTTGCATACTATGTTCACAATCACTGTGTGATACAAAGCATTTATATATACGAATGTTCTATTTGTTAATATGTGAGCGCTAATATGTACATTATAATATTCTTATATTGTTGTTATTTAGACCATTTTGAATAAGAAAGTAACTTTCCATTCATATATGTTTTTTAATACAGTTCTCTAATTAGATTATTAAAAACAAATTAAGTTCTATGTTTTTATAAATAATCTAACTGTATAAAAATGTTCTGAACTGAAAATTTATTTCCTCACTACAGGTTAAGTATGCTCTTGATATCTGTGATATTCTTTAATATGCAATCTAAATCAAACCATGAAAGCGCATTAACTTCATGCTGGCTCGCGTTTTAAATGTAACAATTTACTATCCTGCTTCTAGCACAAGCATGCGTTTCTGCTTCTCTACAACCTTTACAAACATACATCTTAACGCGACTTACTAAAACTTTCTTCTCTGTGGTTCTCAGGTGCATGCGCTTTCATTTGGAATCTCTAATAATTTTCGCTACGAGTAACTAAATAATTATCTCAAATTGCATGTTTTCCTTTGATAGACATATATCAGAATTTCTAATTGAATCGAAGTTCGGACACTTTAAAAGAGGAATAGTTTTCCAAACGTCTAACTTGAACTCTTGAAGAGAGGAATTGTTTTTTTTTCCAAACGTCTAACTTGAGCACTTGAAGAGAGGTATAGTTTTCTATAGGTTTAACTTGAGCGCTTGAAGAGAGGAATAATTTTCCGAAGGTTTAACTTGAGCGCTTGGAGTGAGGAATAGTTTTCCGAAGGTTTAACTTGAGCGCTTGAAGAGAGGAATAGTTTTCCGATGGTTTAACTTGAGAGCTTGGAGTGAGGAATAGTTTTCCGAAGGTTTAACTTGAGCGCTTGAAGAGAGGAATAGTTTTTCAACCCAGTGTCAAACTGTTGAATTTACAATAAAAGCAGCTGTACATGGGGTTTGTAAATACATGCTTGTGCAGTAGCTTGGAAAAAGGGCAGAAATCGAAATTAAATAACTGATTTATTATACTAACATTCATGGCTGTTTTGTTTTAATAATGTGGGGCTAAAAAGCTTTATTGTTTGCTTTGCTCAGGTATGCAGGGAATACCAGCGGGGCAACTGCAAACGTCCCGAAACCGAGTGCCGGTTCGCCCACCCTCCTGACCATGTCACAGTGGACAGTGCGGAGGGAATGGTCACTGTATGCATGGATTTTGTGAAAGGTCGATGCTCGAGGGACATGTGCCGATATTTCCATCCGACGCCCCACCTCCAGGCGCAGCTAAAGGCCGCCCAGAGCCGAGCGAATGCCGCCTCTACGCAAGCTGCTATGGTAGGAAAAATACTTGCTTCTTCCTATGTAATCCCTCTATCCTGCATGAATTCTCATCTTTCTTTCAAGCGACCGCAAACACACTTTTTAGAACACTTATGCGTTTTATTCTTTCATTTTTATTTGCGTCACAAATATCACATTTATATGTCAAAAAAATTACAAATAATGGCAACACATAATTATAATATTTAGAAAAATCCATTATCGTTTATAAAAAGTAGTCATATAAAATCACAGTTAGGAAAAAATCATAGAAATCAGAGCATACATAACTTATTAGATTATTGTAAACATAATAACAACACTAATATAAATAATTTATTTACTACTACAATAGCAGTCACTTTTTTATTACATGCAAATGAAAAGTTTTTAATTATTTTTGAAATGATCTGTGAGAGTACTTTGCAGTTCTTACATTATGATGTGTCAAATACTCTTAAAATCTTTTAATAATACTTCAGAAATTCTTAAATATCATTAAAGTCAAATGTTTTTCTCTTTCTTAAAATTTAAATTCCCAACGTGATCTTATTTAGATGTTGTTTTTTCATGTCAGATGTTGAATCAAATGATATGCAGCTGTCGCGGTAGATCTGCACGCACATTTATTTCTTTACACGAATTGAGAGGGAAAATACAACTTTTTAAAAATAGCTCACGTATCAAAATATCATTAGAACTCAAAAGAGACAGCAATTGAGATAATGGCGCGATTTCAGAATCAAATTGATTGCCAAAAAAAAAGTTACATATTTCTTTTTTTAAACCCTATTGCGTGTATTACTCCACCTGGTGAGTAAGAGATGGACCATTGACCCTATATTTTATCCCAACTAACGGTACCATCTATTTTTGTCGCCGTTCTTTGCTAGTCGAGACACAGTGACCGCACCTTTCTCGACTCTCTGGATCCATTGGGTCTAGACAGAAAGACGCTTAAACTATTAACAATAGGAACTCTAGTACACTCCAGGTTAAAACATTCGTGATCTGTATTTTATCATTCTTTAATATTTAGTTAGTGTACTCCTTTAACAGCGTTTTAAGCAAAATTAATATCCTTATTTTTCCTAACATTTTCTTCCTTCGTTAATGTTTCTCTAAGTATTATCCATATGTCTCTAAGCTAGAACTAGTATAAAGAAGAAAATTGTTAAATTAAAACAATACGACACAAAACTATGTGGGGGTTTTTTTATTATAAAAAGAATTTATTTTTGTACTGCTCCATTTTGACTTTTAGAAAACAAAATTTAGAAACTTAATTTAGACACCCTGGTTTCAACCACAGTCTAACGGTCTAAAATTAATGGACAGTGAAAAATTAATCTAATTTGAATTGAAAAAATCGTGACTTTTTCCATTAACGTAGATTTCAAAACTCAATTGTGAATTTGAGAGGAACTTGTTTTTATTGTATTTCTAAGCTTATTCAGCAGTATTCAGTCAATTTTTTACCAGTTTTATTTAAATTTAAATTAAATTGAGTTGGCTAATTATCATATAAATTAACATAGATTAAAATGACTTCTGGACTTTCAAAGAAAGGAATGCCTTTTATTTACTATTACCCAACTATAAGAAGATTCCTGTAGTATTTAACAAAACTAATTAAACATTTCCTATTTCATATTTTTTTTTCTACATCTGTAAAATAATACATCAGTCCATCCAAAAATAGTTATAAAGCGACTGTTGAATAGAGTTCGCTGAATTTAAAATCCAAAATAATAATAATTAAATATTTTAAGGATAAATAAATCGTTTCATGTCCTCGTGTATTCGTAAAAATATTGAACATCCTATAAAATTAAACTTGGCACATGTTTTTTATGAATAAAACATCCAGCCATTTTAAAAACATGACATAATTTCTCCAATTAATTACAATCACAAAAATTATTTTTTTCTTCTATATATGAAGATATATAAATGCCGAAAAAGCAAAAATATAGAGTATCTCTTGATACTTAATTTGTACAAGACAGGAGTTTTAAAATGCTTTATATTCGCTTTCGATACCAAAATTTGAAAGCTTACAATACATCTAGTCTAAAAAGACTATATGAAATATATAATTTAATTTTTTAGAATTTTTTTTCTTTTGTCGAACACATTTTTCAAAATTTTTATTTTAAAAATATTAGTTAAAGTACCTAAATAAAAATAAAAAACATTTTCTTTATTATCAAGTTACAAAAGTAATACTAACTTACTAAATAGCTTTTTTTATCAAATATTTCAATTATATTTTAATTAATTAACAATCAAATTGATAAACTGATTTTTAAAGTTACAATCTAACATTATAATGCTAACTTATTATGATTTCTAATTGCATTTTTAATAATAACATTAAATAATTTAAGACTTACTCATTAATTAATAAAATGTTTTTATTAACTTTTATCTAATAAATGTGATATTTTTTGTTAGTCATGCATTAATTATAATATAATAAAACTCACTTAATTTTGTAACCATATAAAAGTCAAAAATACTTTTCAATTATATTCTATAGTGCTTTCACTGCTTTGCATATGCTTTTGACTGTCTGAAGTCGGACTAACAAGGAGATATTGAACACCCAAAGTCCTATTAGAATAGTAGCTCTGCAACTATTCTGATATTTTATGAGGAAATTTTATATTTTAATAGTTCATCAAAATTATTCTAAGCACTTATTAGCTAAAAACTTATGCTATAAATAACAATATTCCATAACAAGTTCATATTATTTTTGTTCAAAAAATCTCCATTAGTCCGATTTGAATGTTTTAAATGAATAGTTGATTTTATGGCCTTGGATTATATAATATTGCCAGAAGCATGAGTGATGATTAAAAGGACTAAACTTTTCAATAATATTTTATTTTTAAAAAAATTGCCTTGTTGCTAACCATATCATTACGATAGAAGTTCTTTATTCAATATATCGGAAACACTATATTGGAAACGTGAATAAATAAAAAAATTTATTTTACTATTCCTTTCTATTATTTAGGAATACTGATTTTAGAAGAGCAATTTTTTCAAGTAATTTAATCAAAAAATAATTGCAGAAACGTTTTAATAGACATTTTCTGATAGTTGAAGGAAAAAAAATCTGAATGTGATAGAGAACAATTTTAATCATGTTTCTACTGAAAAAGTACTAACTAACAAACATTTTATTCTTACTTCTCTGAAGAACAATGTAAGAATTATAAATTTTTTTAAAATATAAAAATATTATTTATTTATATCTTATAATTTATTTAAAATATAATTCATGTCGTCGCTTATATCTTTGCACTTTGAGTACTTCGTGTAATACTTTTTCGAGAACCGTTATGTTAGGGAGTAATACTGCCGCATAATTATATCATTAATCAGTTTTGACTCATGTTGGGCATAGTTGCCAAATATGAGACAGATGTTTAGTGTGAGAAACTCACAAATCTTTTCTGCTTGATGCCAACGCTTGTTGAAATTGTCATTCACTAATAACTTCTAAACAAAGAGAGGGTTAGTAGCGTCAGAACTGTCAGAAAAATCAGTCAAACGTTGAACTATGACATCAGTACTTTGAACCAGTTTAAGTTGAACCGTAATATGGTGTAATTAGGTTTAGAAACTCTATAATATTATTTAACATAGCACCATATTAAGTTTGCAGTAAATTTAGCAATACATATACCTCAAATTCTCTACCAATGTAAACTAACAGTGATTTCGATTTAGATAAAAACGCTATTTCCTAGGGTTTTTTTTTGTCCTTAAAGAAATTTTAAAAACAATTTGTTTGTTTTTTTAAGAAAAAAATTAAAATGTTTTGAAAGTGTTCGCGGTTTTCTGAGAGTAGAAATATAATAGTAATACCATTGCGGATAAGTACCTCGTATCACGTATTAGAAACATTTTCATTTCTTTTCAAATTCACCAAATCAGGTACTTGGATAAAAATTCATTCGTTTTAATTACGCTTAAGTATCGAAAATAACACTAGTATAGATGTGAGGAATAATTAAAAGCTTTGATAATTTATCATAGCAAAGACACCATAAATACTTGACTCAAAATACTTCATAATAGGCCATTTTCTCTTCACTCGACTTTATTTACACAATAGAGCAATTTGCGAAGTTCCAGCTAAAAAAATTTTAATAACTAATCATTTTTAAACAATAATTTAACAATAATTTTTAAAAAAACTTTGTCATATGAATAACTATATATAACTTGATATATGAATAACTAACAAAAATGTTTTTGACATCACTAATCATTTCCTACACAACACATTATGTTCAAGAAAGAGTTTTGTATGCCACCTCCCAAGTAAATTTTTCTTAGCACCCTAACACATCGAAACTTTTCCCAACATTTCTGTTACGTAGGAATGCAGTTTCAAAAATATTGAGAATAACAGTTTAAATTATACCGTATGAAAGCAGCGCCATTTATTTAATAAATTGCAATTTTATATTATCTAAAGTCGCAGTTTAAGTGATTATATCTTCTTATTTTTTTTTCCACTTAACATAGTTCATCTCGTATTAAGCTATGATGAATTTTGAGCCTAACAATGACCTTCTCTTTAATTATTAATTGAAGACAAAGGCAGTTGGTTTAATTTTTAACCGCCAAATTATAAAAAAGAAAGTTAGTACGCTTGTGGAAAAATTGTTGGGTGAATAAATATTATAAATATAAAAGCATTAAATATTAGTAATAAAAGTAAATATTTAAGTTTTCTAATTTTTCTATTTTAATAAGTTCATCTCAAATTTAAGGCATAAATTAGTTTTCTTCTACTAGAAAATTTTGTTTCTCGTGGGGCTTTATTTATTACAATGGGGTTTGATTATAAACCAATTCTACCGATTTTTCTAATTTTACTAAAAGTTAAGTCTTTATTAATATCTACAGTTTTCTTAGAATTATCCCTTCTTCATTCCTTTTAGTAGAACTTGTTTGCATTCTAACAATTTTTTTTGATTAAATATTTAAATAACTCCTACTCTTTATAATTAATTAATATTTTTAACACTTCCTCACACGAAACTCAAAAAAACTTAAATAAAAATAAAACATTTTCTCAATTATTTCTTCATAATTTAGTTTATAATATATATATATATATATGAAAATGTCACTAATTCAAATGAAAAAATATTTTTGAAACTGTCTCCTACGAATTCACATTAAACGTCAAAATTGGCAGTTAAAAACTCTCAAAAATCCAAACTTATTCACCCCAGTTACAACTTATTTGACTGCTGGAAAGATTTTCAATAATACTCCAATTAACTTAATCTAAGTGTCGATTTTGAAAACAAAGTTCACTAAAATTCTTCAGTGAATTCACTCCAAATAATGATTTTGAAAATTAGAAAGCTCACAAACACTTAGTTGAGTTACGCAACTATAATAAATTAAATATAGCTAAACCCAGTTTATAACAGATGAGAGCATTTTGGGCAAAGCGGTACTAAATTGAAAATGATAAAATTGAAGCGATTTTATAATTTTAAATGGTGTACTGCGCTTCGCAGCTCAAGGCATAAAATCTTCTATCATCATGTGAAATGCTAAAGCTATGATAGTTTGAATGTTGAGCTGGGAGATAATGGTGCTTTTCTCTCTCTCTCTTCTTTCTCTTTTGTTGTGTATTGTTACCTGTTCTGCTGCTGTTGCTTGCCTGCCCATCATCTGTTGCTGCTTCCTTCTGCTGTTGCTTCTTCACAAACACTTCTATAGCCCAATGCTGATGCTAAGAAGAGGCTTCACGATTCTTCTACACAGATTCTACAGCAACGCCCATCAAACGCAACAGACAACATGCTTCTGGTACATTGAATTCTTCAATTACCTGAATAAAAACGTCCACCATTTATAAATTAACGTTCGAAATATTCATTTCATGTTTTAATATAAACTTTGAGTTGTAATTATCACTATAGCTCTAAAATAAATACCCCTAGAATTCCTGCTATCAAAATCTATTGGTGATGGCAGTAAGTTTTATACTGGTTTAATATAAGGTTTGAGTTATTATCACTATAGCTCTAAAATAAATACCCCTAGAATTCTTGGTATCAAAATCTATTGGTGATGGCAGTAAGTTTTATACGGGTTATTTCGATTAATATTAGTTATAAAACACTTAATATTGAAAGATAGTCAGCCAAGTATATGTTATCACTATTTCTGACATTTTCTAAGCGTACTTTTTAATGGATGGGTGATCATATTGACTCATTTAAGCAATCTCAATACAACAGTATAATGCCAGTTTTTTTTACCTTTACCTTATAGTGTACTAGGTAATCGCGTTACTATAGTGTACTAGGTAATCAGTTTGCTAACTTCTCAACTTGACCCAACATATGTTTGAGATTTAAAAGATTGGCTGATTTCTGTAAGTTTATTTCAATTGTAATCAGTCCATATAAACCATATAAAATAATTATTTGCATAGATATTTTACTGTTTTAATGTACGTTTATAAATCTCAAATTACATTAAAATATTTATATTTAAGTAACGTAAATAGTTTATTGCAATTTATTTGCATATTGTGGAAATATACAGCGTAAGGGAAAGATTTTACTAATATCCAATAATGGACCAAAAATAAACTTACAGAAATTGTTGTGTTAAAATACANTGAGTTTTATACGGGTTATTTCGATTAATATTAGCTATAAAACACTTAATATTGAAAGATAGTCAGCCAAGTATATGTTAGCACTATTTCTGACATTTTCTAAGAGTACTTTTTAATGGATGGGTGATCATATTGACTCATTTAAGCAATCTCAATACAACAGTATAATGCCAGTTTTTTTTTTTTTTACCTTTACGTTATAGTGCACTATGTAATCACGTTACTATAGTGTACTAGGTAATCAGTTTGCTAACTTCTCGACTTGACCCAACATATGTTTGAGATTTAAAACATTGGCTGATTTCTGTAAGTTTATTTCAATTGTAATCAGTCCATATAAACCATATAAAATAATAATTATTTGCATAGATATTCTACTGCTTTAATGTACGTTTATAAATCTCAAATTACATTAAAATATTTATATTTGAGTAACGTAAATAGTTTATTGCAATTTATTTGCATATTGTGGAAATATACAGCGTAAGGGAAAGATTTTACTAATATCCAATAATGGACCAAAAATAAACTTACAGAAATTGTTGTGTTACAATACATTCGTTTTTGACTAAAGTAAGTTCTATTCAATTTATTAATAAGTAAGTTTTCATTTATTTACCATCTTTTTAAATGTATTGAAAAATTATTTGAAAGATTTTCATCTTAATCATAAAAATATATAAACTTCGTTGACTGAATATTTTTCCCACAGAAATGCAACTGAATCACTTACAAATTGCAAACACGTGTACATTTTTATGCATTTCTGATCGATTTCAGTACAACTATTTCACTCAATTGTATTAGTTTTTCATTAATATTATCGAGTTGCAATTATCACTGATAAATTTCCTAAAATTTAATGCTGTTAAGAAAAAATTATACTCATAGTAGTTGAGTTGTTCGAAAGGTGAAGATTTTTTTAAAAAGAATGGTATTTAAATTACTGTATGTTTATATATTATCATTTTACACCAGTTGCAGCAGAATGTAAAGTTTGTGAAATAGGTAAAATAAACAGCGTATGTTTATATATTATCATTTTACACCAGTTGCAGCAGAATGTAAAGTTTGTGAAATAGGTGAATTTTACTTATTTTTTTGAGTTTGTGTACCATTTTTGCAGGTTTTATTATTAATAGAACAAAACACAATATTCTATGATATCGGTTCTAAAATAAAGAACCTTCTTCAGTATCTAAGCATAAAATGAAAGAAGGAAAGGCAAAAATCTGAGAAATAAACAAGTAACAGCTAGGAAAAAAGAGGGTTGAGCATTAAGATAGGAGAAGCAAACTTGGACAAGATAGTCAAATTATTATTATTTTAATATTTGATAATTAATAGGATAGGAAGAATAAACTTGAACAAGATAATCCAATATTAGACAGTATTACGCTCTTTTTTTTTCTTTTTTTTTTTCTTGTTCACAGTTGTTCTTCCTACCCAAATAGTCAACCCCGCTTTTTTTCCTTTATGTTGTTTGAAATTTTCTTTTTTTGCTTCCTTCTTTTATTCTGTGTTTCAATTTTAAAGAATGTTCTTCATTATAGAACCAAATGACAGTATGACAATTTTTGTTCTCTTTTCACGTTGTCTGGCTTTATTCATATTTAATATTAAATTAAGCCATTCTTCTAACTTTCGTATTAATATTTTTTTAAATTTAAGAATCAGCTGAGTAAAACTTGTTTTAAGAATCTATTTTTGTGATACTTAACAAATTGTATCATTAACCATTTTTTTGAAATATTTTAAAAATGTTCTAATTTTCTTTTATAAAACAATGAAATTGCAGATATCTGTTATAAACATAGGGTATAAGATCTACAGCTAAACAGTACTACGCTTTTTTTACTTATTTTACTATTTATTTATTTATAGAATGTTGTTAATGCTTTTTTTTATGCTGATTGAAAATCAAAAATTCTTCCTTTTGTAAGACTTGACTATTTTCTGAAAATTTTTGCTAACGATATGATTTATAGTATTAAAAATGCTTTAAAGAAACTTAGTGACATTACGAGTTCATAATTACTGTTATTGATAAAATTTATGATATTTAAAAAAAAATTAGAAAAACTGATTTCTTCAATTTCTTAGTCACTTAATATGAGAGCGAATTAAAAATTTCAAATAAAATTATTATCTAACTATGCTTATTTCCACCACTTTTTTACAACTTATTTCTTTTTAATAGTCATTCAAATATGAATTTTTCAGTTCTTTTTAATTCCTTTCAAATAATAGTCATTTATGTGTAGTGATATATATTATTATGTTAATATTATTACGTGCAACAGATAAATATTAATGGACGTGTGTGCCGAGAAAAATTTTGATTCTCTTATGGGTACTTCGAGAAAAAGACGTTTAGGGTTCCCTCGATTAGAACAAAATGATTTTTCATATTGAATCAAATCAATCTATGAAACTGTTATTAAGATATTGTGTGGAAGAAGTGGTGTAAGTTTTATTCCGATGAAATAATCTCTCTATTTTTGGCGGATAATCATTCAAATGTGATCAAATAGTTTGATCAAGCTTTACATCTTTTGTTCATGCTTACTTTTAAATTCATAGTGGTAAAAAGTAATAATTCAAAAGGTGAAAATGTATTATAGAAACAAATCTAAGATAAAATATAGATATGAAAACAAATTATCTGTTAATAGGATATAAAAACAATTGGTTATACAAATTGAATACGTTTTAATTAAGTAGAATAAATAACATGACTGTCTCTGAAGTAGTAAGTGTCTTTAATCATTTATACACTGTTACTTAATCATGGAGTTAAATGTTTTATTCGAGCTTATAAAATGTTTTTACAATAAATTACCTGCAATTAATTTTTCAAAATTTATTTTAAAAAAATGTCTAATTTCGGAGAATAAATGGCGCGGAGAATTGGAGAATAATGGAGTAAATCTCCAATAATGGAGATAATACCTAGATTTACTCTAGCGATAACTTCTGTTGTAATTCTGAAAATTATATCCAGAATTAAACTAAGGTTAAAAATCAATGAATTTTTTTCAGAGAATGTATAATGTATTATTATTATATTATTAATGTGTATTTCTAATATTAGAATTAGTGTATAATTCTAATATTTAGTTCGAAAAAAATGCTGTTGTGAAATTACATAACCACTCTTTAAATCAAGGTTTTTTATGACGATTTTGGTATAATAAAATTTGTAAAATACAGATAAAACTAAAACTTTTTTTATTTTCGATTTATAAAAAATTATTATTTCAATAGTATTGCCCTGAAAACGTTATGCGTGCTCCATTTTTTTATTTTTTGACTATTTTACAAGCAATTGAATTCAATAAAACAGGCAATAAGTTATTATTTAATTCCGCATGCTGTAAAAAAATATCGAACTATTTTCATTGGTTATACTTTATCATTACTGCTGTATAATTTTATTTTGTCTTGAAATATATTACTTTAAAATCTTGTAAACGATTATTAATTAGCGTTAAATAGAGACAAATGCTAACTACTTAATGTTTAATTTGAAACTGTTTTAAGCTAGTGAAACTTATAAAAAGCGTTATTGTGTTGATTTTTTTCAAAAAAAAATTGTTTTATATGTGATATTAACTATACTGCATAGGATATTTAATTATAACTAGCTATCAAACGATTTTTTGTAGCTAAAAATAATGTTAAAGTATTTCATACATTTCCGCTTATTAAGTTCAATACACTACTATGCTATATCTTGTTTAATGCAATTAACATTAATTTTTTAGTGCAATATGATGTATCAAAACTCTTTGGGCGGAAATCAATATTTTGTAAGTTGTTTTGATAAGTTGTTTTTTGTTTAGTATTTGTTTTTGCATAAGTTAGTTAAGATGTTTTTTGTTCACATTTTGTGAATGCTAGACTTGACTTTTGGCTTGCAAAAAAGTATCAGCATAAAAATCTGCTTATATTTTAAAACAGAGGAAAGAAACTCTAATTGTTGTGCACTTTAGTGTTAAAGCTTCGTTTTCTTTTTCTTCGTGTATTTCTTTTTTTTTTAATTTTTAAAATGAGAATTTTTAGTTTTGCATCTAATAAGCGTATTTTTGTAATTCAATGAATCATTAATTTTTTTTATAAGTTGTTAATAATATTTCATTGTTTTGCTTGGAAATGCATAAATTTTTGGTAGATTTTGAATTATTGAGGTAATAACTAAAATATTTTATTTTGATTGCACCTGCAATTATTTTAACTCTTTTTAAGTCACGTGTTCTTGCGATGATGTCACAGTTTCAAACTTGTAGGAATTCACTTAACTGCCCTATGACTTGAGCAAAAAAAATAAATAAAATAAAAATTCTAATATTTGAGTGTTTTCAAAAAAAATATTCATAAAATCTTCTGGGATTTTTTTTAACTTTTTACAATTAACTCAAATTTTTTAGAAGTATATATAAAACATTGATTATATTTTCTATTCTGTGTGGTTATGTAAACATATTAATCAAATCAAAACCTGTATAAAATCAAAAATCCATGCAAAATTCCACGATAAACAACTGTGGTTGTGATGGTTTCAAAAAGACTAATTAATATGTGACTTTCATAGATTATTTTAAATTCTATGCTTAATACTGGTATCTTTCACATGATGGTTATAACTAAACTGGCTCTGTTTAGATTTCTGCACTTTATTACCAAAAAATTAGCAAATTTTGAAAGCCACGCGTTTTTGACTGTAAGAAATAGAATATATAAATTAAAATATAATATCTAAGTTAATAAAAAAATTTAAATTAACCCAAAATAAAAAGATAGTCCAAATTTTAATTGGATTAGAGCATTTTAAATGTTTTATTATTTCTATTGATAATATTGTGAGCTAGAAAATGTAGATTTAACGAAAGGTTTTCATAATATAAATTTAATTTTAAAATTTTTACTCGAAATTTACAATTCCTTAAATTTTATTGTCCTGTTTCTAATGGTCAAAAAAATTTATCAGATCGAATCACCGATATTTTTTATAAGTTCAATTTGTAAACGCTCCCTCTTCTTTCGCGTCCTCACATTCTTGGAATGTGTGGAATTCATCCATATCTGTCTCTCGGCCTTAATGTGCATCGAGTCACCGGTATTTTTTTTAAAAAAAATACCGGTGACTCGATGTCACAGTAAAGGTCTTTCAAATTTTATTAATTTACGCAATAAAAGGTCTTTAAACAGTGTCTGTTTAGTTGTGACAAACCTGTATTGTGAAAGATACCTCGCTTGCTTTGCTAACAATCAAAATTCAGATCATTACATTAAACTTTTTTTGCTGGATTTTTATTTAAAATTTAATGATTACTTATAGGCTTTCCCTGGCGTATCACCTTACAGTAAAAGACCAGCAATGGACAAAAGTGGTTTACCAGTGTACCAGCCAAGTACTGCAGCTTACCAACAAGCACTTGCAATGCAAGTGCAACAACCATTTGTTCCCGTGTCTTGTAAGTATCCAGGGTAGCTACAACCGGGGGAAATGTAAGAGGTGGTGACAAATGTGTTATGAGGCCTTCGGAAATTTCGAAGGATTTAATTTTAAAAATTTAGAAATTAAGTTTTTCAATTTTAATAATTAGATATATTTTATTTAATTTATAGATATATTTTGGTAGCTAGGAATACGGGTAGCAAAAAACATCCAGCACGGAAGCAAGCACTGCAGATTATTACAGCATATGCGGAATATTTTTAATCTCTAAGTTTTCTTGTTATTTTGAAAAAGCAAACAAAAAATTGGGTGAAAGTTACCAAGATTTTTTTGAAACATCTCTAAACTATTGTTTCAAATAAAAATTAAACAGTTGAATGCAAAAGACGCAACAAAGAACAGAAAATAATGAATTTTTTTCTGTTACTTAATTACAGGCTTAAATGTACAGAGATTTAATTTTTTCTTAATATCATTATTTAATTTTTAAGTTATTTACTTTCTGTTTATTTTTTAAGGACTTTATTTTTGCGAATTTTTACATTAAGGATTGTAAAAGTGCGTTGAGGTTGCTGGCAAATTTAAAATTATGGAGATAGTGCGGCAGAATTCCTACGTGAATTCTATTACTGGAATCGAAATTACTAAAAATAGTTCAATATTTCTCTACTATTTTTTAATTTTATCCGGTTACGGGTTCTTGAATAGTAAACACCAGCTTCAAAGCCGTCAGAAGGAGGGAGCGAGCGGGACATTACTCCAGGACACTACATACCTAAGACTTTAAAGTGTCCTACCGTTCGTGATATTCGAGGAAAAAAATTAATAAATTAAAAGGAATATATTTTTAAAAAAATTAATTTAAAAATAAAAATTTCTGAAACCTTGTTTTTTTATTTTATTACATAAATGAAATTAAAATTAAAGCAGAGGTCTCCGCATTTCAAGGATCCAATTTTCTTTATCAAATTTGTATGCGGATAAATTCATGGATCATATGCTCATTTTTCAGCAAATGTTAAAACAAATCTTGTAGGGTGAAGAAATAGGTAGTTTCTTTAGTTTTGCAGTTTTATTGACTCATCTGTTTTTAAAAGTGATTGAAATGCAACCAACAAAACAGTAATCATATCATAGAAGTGCTGAATTAAGGGATAATCTGCTAATTTACTTCCGTACAAAGATATTAAGCACTATATTCACTTTGCTTTCGTGTTATATTTAAGAAATCTCTAATTGTTTTAGAAATTTTCATTGTATGAAAGAATGTGAACTTATTGATACTGGTTACTTTCTTTACTGCAACAATACTCTATAAATTTTCTTTACATTGTTCTCAATTTATTGAATTAAAAATAAGTGCTCAGTGCTCCATTCATAAAATTATACTTGATACTGTTAAAACTTTCTCTTTTAAACAAGGAAATTCTAAAATTAAAAATAATATATTTTATTATTCTGTGATAAAATTTACCTTTATTATTTTTAATTGGAACAAATTATACTTTTAGATGTTTGCTGTTTGCCATTTTTTAAAGTAGTCATATGTATATACTGTTCTAAACTTTTGATTTTTGTACTGATTTTATTGAAAAATGTTGTGTTGGTTTTTTTCTTTGGACCACTATGAAGCCTGGAATATTAAAAGTTCTTAATCTGCTTTTGCTTTTTTAAACTAATTCATAAGATTTAATTTAGTAAATTACAAAGAAATATATTCTTTCGGTAACTATACACGATGACCAATAAATTCTCATACAGTTTCAAAATGTTATTACAATAATACAAAGTAAATCATGCAAAAACCTTTTTGCATTAATTTAAAGTAGCTATCCTTAGCTATCTTTACAATAAATGCCTTGGAATAATATCGCCATTTACTTTCTTAACGAGCATAAATCTGTATTCAAATCCATCATCACATGCGGCACGTATGGCTTTCATTGGCATTTCAAACCATACTTTAGAATTAAATTTTTGGATAATTTTATTATAAACAATCAGTTTCCAACTCCTAAGCATTTTAACATTTTGGAATTCTTGAATATAACTTATTTCTTGAATATATTTCCTGAATTCCCCATCTCTATCTCTCTCTTTTTTCTTTTTTTACATTTGTAGAAACGAAGTTTTTATTCACGCCACTAAGAATGCTATTTATTTGTTTTAAGTTTTTATTTTAAACATCAAGTATTCGCGAGAAGCTCTTCTGCCTAAAAAAAAAAATTAGTATAAGCTTTATTTTGATTATTTAAAAGCTGCTTTTCCTGTTATTATTTTTTTAATAATTTGTGCAATTATAGCATTACTTTTTAATCAATGTACTTGCATATTTGTTATGTAAAATAGTGTAAGGTTTACTAAACTACTATAATATATATTCACTAAATTTTTCTATTGTTGAATAGACGATTGCTTTTTATTTTGAGCATAATAACTTCTTTTACTACCAATTAAGGTCCTCAATATTTTCAGATACATGTCTCCCTTCAGCAGTAACTGGCCATCCAACTGCTGTTCCAAGATTCTAAAGTAGGCCTGATATGAAGACCTCACTGTAGAGTATTACATCTCTTTTCAAAGTATGTATACAATTATATTCAATTATTGCATAAATCTATCTATATTTCTAAGTTTATTCTATAACGTATACAATTGAATATGTATATTGAATTACATGCATATATATATATATATATATATAGGGTGTTTATAAAGTCCCGGACCCATTTTGATGTTTAATAACTCATAAAATAATAAAGATGGAATAAAACTAATAACATAAATGGTTAGATAGNAATGCAATCTTTTTGCAATATTGCCCGGGTTAAATACTTCAAACAATGCTTTTATTTTGTATAGTATAACAAAAGAAAGAGTATATAAAAGTATTATTACATTTATTTCATAGGGTGTTTCAGAATAATCGTTCTTATAATATAAAAATTGAAATTAAAAAAAACAAAACTTACACATTAATGAGTCGCAGATGAATATTTAAGCGTGAATAGAAACGCTACCAATACTTAACGGATCACTACTGAGGTAAGTGAGATTGAAAACGTAAAAACCTGTTTATTTACTAAAGGGAAAAAAATGAGAGTTTAGAAGTATTGAACACCTCCAGGCTTCAGCATACAACTAAACTGGTTTCTGATGTTTTTCAATGAGTCTTCTTCACGTGTTTTGAGCGCTTGAAAATTAGAAGCCTATTCTCAAGACTTGCTAGACATGATTGAGACAAACAACGTAAAAATACAAAATAAATAGGATAAATATAACTAGAAAAACCGCGGTTTGCAGAGAATGAAACAGAAATGGAAAAGTAAATAAAAGTTAAAAAAATACAAGAAAAATCCCAGTGGCCCAGAGAGGCAAACCAGGACAAAATGCTTTTTCGTGTGGTGTGGCGAGGAACTCGTGTCGTTAACGAGGGAAACTGTTTTCATATGATGGAAGCAAGATTCCAGGTCATCAAGATTACCTTAGTATTTAAACACATATTAAGAATGACGATCACGAAGAAAAAAAGCCTTCGTATTTTTCACGTTTTTTTTAAACTATAAAATAAAAATCACCGTTGCATTGTTTTCTATCTCATTAAAAAAAAATGCTTTTCAAAACAAGCAATTTTTTGAAGAAAAAAAAACTCAATTTAATGAATTTTACGGAAGTAATAACTAATTAATATTTTCAATTGTCAGGGTCTCTTAACATATCTTCTAGAGATCATGTTTCAGTAGATTTGATTAAAACCTTAGCTTGTATTTGTCTGAGGTATTAGTTCTCAATGATTCAATATTGAATATGGCCAAGATCTCTAACTACATGTTGGGGAGAGTTGGCCTGAAACCAAGTAGTTTGGTGAGACCAGAGGTACTTCGATTTTGTCAAAATCAGTTCTGTTTTTTAGCTATAAAACTCTGTGTTACACTTTAATAGTAAGAAAGATGAACCTCCCTAACTGGCGTGATGTTGATGATTAATTTGCTGCTATAGTGTAAATAAGTTTATGTAAGAATATAAATAATGTAAGAATTTGTATTTTTCACAAAAGGGACCGACGATTTCAAAAACCATATAAATAAAAACAGTGGGAGATAAAAATACAAGGTTTACTGATTTCTTAAGAAATCATAGAACGTATTTTCATCATATTTCATAATTGTTTCCATCTACTTTTGACGTATCGTTGTATGGCCATTCCAACTGCTCTCTCCAAATGAAATTTTAACTTTTTCCTCAAACGAAGCCATATTGTTTTGTAAATGTTGAATACTTTAAAAACTGGGGTGGAATAGCCTTGTTGGTAGGGCTGACCCATGTCCAAGTGGTCGTGAGTTCGATCCCCTCTGGTCGAAGACTCCCTGTGTAGTAAATGGTGACTGTTGCACGTTAAATCTGTCGGATCACCAGTGGCGTATCTAGGATATGGCTAATTATTTCAATAAGGAGCAAAATCGATCAACATCAACGATTTTATTTTACTTAAGAATTTATTATTATTATTATTATTTTAAGTTTGGGAAGAATTTTAAAAAAAAAGCATACTTGCAAAAGTTCGATTTCTTTTTCCTTTTTTTTGAATGGTTAGATTAAGCAACATATCGTAAGTTGTTAACATAGTTTTTTTTTTTTTTTGTGCTCTAAATCACAGAAGTATTATTCCCTCACTATTTTTATTATATAAGTTTCAAAAATCCTTCCCCTTACAATTTGGTGCATTACAATTAAAAAGAGATAATTTTATTGTTATAGTTAATTTTTATTTATTTAATATTCTATCTTTATTTAAATACAATGCAATCTTTTTGCAATATTGCCCGGGTTAAATACTTCAAACAATGCTTTTATTTTGTATAGTATAACAAAAGAAAGGGAACATAAATATTTTAGGAAAGGCGCTGGCACGAGATTTTCTATAGGCGCTTCTTTCCATAGATACTCCTCTGCGGGTCACAAAGTCCTCGAAGTTCCCATGAAGAATCAATATCTCTGGGGGTACTGAATTGGAGATTGATCGTTCTCTGGTTCAGAACAATATTACGATCTGTGGATACATGAATGGGTCCGTCCTTTAAAGCTGTCAGTGACGTGTGCTGCTGAAGTCTTAATCTTGGCCTTAGATGGCTCCACTGAAAAACAGGAAACGCACCCTTTGCCATAAATTAGCTGGGTTTTACCAAGCAGTCTTTCTGGTATTTTGCAAGTTGCATTAGAAACAAAATTTTAAAAACCTTTTTATGGTTATTCTCAGTTAGCATTGCCATATAGTGATGAAAATATATAATTCATATAGATGGTGAAAATAAAAGAGCTGGTTTCTTATGGAAAACGCAGTTAACTTAAAATTTCCATCTGCTTCCTTCCCCACTCCCTCATTGATTTTTCAAATCTTTGGTCATTTTTAAAGTGTCTTATGAATTTATGAGAAAAATTAATATAGGATCTTAAAAAAAATTTACATTAATGGTATCTACTCATAAACGCTTAGAATAAAGTAAAATAGTACTGATTCGAAAGCAAAAAGAATTGGTTTTTTGATCGATTGAGAAAAAGCTCTTATTATCTTTATGAAGAAAACGAAGTTTTTAAAAATATTAATTTAATATAAAGTATACGAGGAAAAATTAAAATTATACTCATATTCAAAATCCCAAGTATATATTTAAACAAGGAAAATACGAAAACATTATTAAAACCTGGTGAATAGAAGAGGACAGGACTACACACAACAAAACCAATTAATTTGCCATTGCACTTGATGATTTTTCTGGTAATTTTTTTTAACCTCCTCTCTGCTTCCTCTGGAAATCAAACACGCTTTTAATCACTCTCAGGATTCGTCGGATTTTGATAACGTTTTTCCCCCACAATTAAATTTTACTTAGAATTATGCATTTAACCTCGACTCTATTTTTGGCAAGGTTTTTTAAAAATATATTTAAATGCAATCCTGTATATAATATATACACTCCTAAAAGGTATAACTGTGTAATTATTACAAAGATAGTCAGACTTTAAAGGTCTGAGGGCTAAATAATGATTTTAAAGATTTTATAAATGGCAAAAGTTTTAAACATTGAAACCTGATCATCTCATGACTAAGCTTTAAAAAACTTATTTAGTAGTGTCTTGTTAAATCAAAACACGTGTGTAAGTCAATAAAAACCATTTGGGAAGTAAAAGCTACCGGTGCGCAATGGTGACCACATTGTCACTATCATATCATTGTCCTTAAAATTGTGGAACCTTTAATTCAATGACCCATTCTGAACGGCAAGACTATTGCTTTACCTTTTTTTTTTTACAAATTACCAATAACATATTTGACATAGCAACTAACAACATATCTAATGTCTAATATATTTGGCTTAGCTCTTTTGACACAGATTTGATTTAATAATCAAATATTTGAAGGATAGCTTTTACGGGTTTATTTTTCATACGAAAACCCACGTGATTACTTCAGTTTAACTATTAGAGCTTTTTTTTCTGTGTAAAGGATTGATTCATTAAAACCTGCATCTTATACACTGTTTGAAAATTTTCGGCAAAAATGTTTTAATAGCACTTTGTTTAATTGTTATTTTGCCCTATTCAAGCAAAATAACCATAACCATAAGCAAGATAATATTCAAACTGGTAAGTTAGAAAAAACATTTATAGATTGTTTTTTTTCCTAATACGGATACACAACCAGAATTCTATCCGCACCAACTAGGCTTCTCACCTTACAAAGCCATTTTGTTCCATGCAGCTGGGTACATACTGTAGCTGAGAGAACTGAACATGGATTCAGCAATATTTCTTACATTCTTTCAATACATGTAGAGATTCCAGTATCCTGCACTCTTCAATCGGTGACCCTGGACTATTAGAATACGAAAATACTATTAGCGCATAAATGGAGCAGCACCCACAGAGCTTCAATGTCCGTTTAAGTTTTATTTTTATGGTTTAGAAACTATGCTCCTTGTAAATGGTTGCAAAACCGTAAAGGTAAAAAATGTTCCTAACCATAAACTTTATGATTAATCGAATGGACAGATTGCTGTAATATCAGAGTGAAAATTTTAACAATGTATAGTAGTTTTTGTTTCAACACTCCGAAAATGTTAATATTTATGTTATTTTATTTAATGCTTATATTTTTTTCAGAACATGATGAAGTTTTTGATGCTAAAGTGAGGTCCCCTAAGAAGCAAAGAGTAAAAATCAGTCAGCACTCAAAATCCAAGTAAAAGAAGCTTTTCAAAACGGGAGAGCGTTTCCATCTCCAGGATTTCTTTACTGGGGTGAGATTGAAAAATAAAAACAAGTGCCCTAAATCAAGGCTATAGAATATGAAATCTCACTTCAGATAGTCTGTGATATGGAGACAGCACTTTCAGGGCTCCCTCGTACTTCACACAGATACTACGACTCTCCCCTTTAATACTGAATGGACATCTAGTCAGGTTGGCAAATGAGAATAGATCTGAACTAATGAAGTGTCTGATTCCCTTATCTCCCTCTTAATCTTTCTCTTTTTACCTATTTACATATGTAAAAAGTTTAGAAAGAAAATTTCCTGAGGATAGAAATGTTATCTTGAGAATCTTGGAAGCATCTGATGGTTTTTACTCAGTATCTTAGGACAGTTATGAAGGCCTCAAGAAAATTAAGATATCCTTGGCCAGAGGAATAGTTATGATATTGTATTTTTTTTACTATTAACATGTCTGTTTTTTTCTCAGATATATATTGTTATGTTTACGAATTTCATTTTCTTGATGTTTATATCTCCAAATTATTTCTCACTGCATGAATATTGGAAATGTGTGAATTTGTTAGTGATTAATTTTAATATTACAATATACTTTACCTATCTTGAGCATTTAGTTGCATTACTTTTGGTTGTTAAAATATAGTATCTGAATTAATTCATCAATCATGACCATGTAAAATGAATGAAATCATTTTGTAGTATCATTGTTCAATGATATAAAACTCATTATTTATTAAATTGTTCGACTTATTTCAAAATCATCATCATGAACAACGAATTATTTTGTAATTGTTGATGCAAACTTGAACTAATTATGAGGCATTTTCTTTATTTTTACTCTAAAATTAATAATTGGCATATCTCTCAATAATTCTATCTCGATGCCAATGATATCTTTATTTTTATTCTTAACAGAGTCAAGAGGCTACTATGGTCCGGGGCCAAAAGTATCCGGAAAGGGTTAGAATTTTCTTTCTTTTTGTCGATATTCTTTGTCGTTGTTTTTAATCAATTGACCATTTAGTTTAAGTTAGAAATATATATGCAACGAGATTATGGAGAGAAATTATTCATTTGTTAACTAGTGATGCCGTTTGTTGACTTTAATGAATTCTAACAAGAGTAAAAGTCTTTTTCTCTTGTTAGGGAGTGAAAGTTATGGTTTCTTGAAAGATGATATTTTTAATAACAATTGTTTATATGTCACATTGTTTTATTACTTGCATATCTTTGTATGTGTTAGTAACTTAATGTGAAACTGTTGCAAATGTTTTCTGTGGATTATAGATAAATGAGAACACAAGAATTTTATATACTGAAAATACTAAAGTATTTAAATACTAGTGGCTCCAATGCCACTTGTTTCCGGTGATACAGTTGCAATGATTTCAGTTTAATAAAATAATCTTATAGCTCCAAAGAGCTTTAACACTTGCAACTCAGGCTATACAGAAAACAAAGTACTTTGTGAATAACAATACTGTGTTATCTTTTTTATTGGTAGTTTTCAATCAAAGAAAATCTAGAGTTTGTATTTGTAGACAGTTGCATGTTTTGTAACAAGTATTTTAGTATGCTCCAATTCAAAAATTGTATTACTTGACGTAAGTCGTAATAAATGTAAACTTTATATTTATTGAATATAAAACTATAATGAATCTTTTATTAATGTTATTTACTGACTAATACAATGTTAAAATATTTCTATGTACTAATTATATAAATACTGCACAGCTCATGTATCTTCTTGAAATGAATAACTTTTTTCATCTCTAAATTTCTTTATAGAAACAATTTATTCTGGAATACTTAGATGACAAATATTGATCACTATTAATTAAAATTAACTATACACGCACTGATTTTGGTAGAGATATGTGTAAAATTATAATAACTCAACATTTTGTATTATAACTGTTCGTATGAGCTTTAAAATGATATTGAAAAAATAAAAACTTTTTTTTGTATTAGCACCAGATCATTCCTTGGTCAAATGTTAATATATCATAAATACTATGTTAATGTTCAGAAAATGATTTTTTTTATTAAAGTATATAGTTTAAAAGCAGTACATATTGTTTGCATGAGTTGTAGTTCTGATTTTAGATTAGTCATCTATATAGCTTAATGTATGTCTCATTTTTTGTGATATTGAATTACATAAGTAGCTTATACAGTGTGGTATAACTTTGTAACTAGAACACAGCAAATTTAAGCCCAAGATCTATGTGCTCCGACAAGGTTTCAATATTTTTATTTCATATGTAAATAGAAACATGTTGAAAAAAAATTATTACCATACAATTTTAATTCCTGAACTGTATTAAAAAGTTGCACATATTTGAATGAAAAGCATGCGGTTTTGTCCATTTTTTATTTTAACAATGTTTGTTGCTAACTATTAAAAAAGTATTCAATTTATTATTTAAAAAAAATGAAAATCAAAATTAAGTCTTTCTGCCTTATGGCTAAAGAGTTTATGCATCTCTACATTCTTTAAAATGGCCCCTTGTTGTTTGTTAAAAAAAATAATATTTTTAAAACAGTTTTTATCTACTTTCAACTTTTGAGGTCTTAAATTTTTTTCAGTGAGCTAGAATAATACCACTGTAATAATGTTAAAATCATTTAATAACTCTAACCTGCCATAGGTAGTCTTATGTTTTTCAGTGAAATATTTTTTAAACAATTCGGAAACTCTAGGTGACAAATTAGTTTTTGTATCATTTTCTGCAGCCTGTGATGAATATCTAGTTCCTTTCTTAATTTTAATACACATTTTCTTGTGTATTTAACATATAATTATGCAAAGGAACAAAAATCTATAACTAATATGTTGTTTTGTTTACTTTTTATTAAAAACTAGTATTTTGTGTAATAATAATTCCAAAATATTTACATTTGTGTAATTTTTTTCATATATAAAATAAAACATTGTATTAAATGTGTTTCTTGCATGTTATTTGCTGTGTTTCATATCATATGCCATAAATGTGTTCTACACATTATTGTGAGTGTTTACATCTCTATACGTGAATTTGTTGCATTGAATTACGATAGACAAGAGAACACAATGGCAATGTTGCTATGAGACACTTAAAGCCATGTTTATGATTTTTTAATAAGTTGGAAACTTGAATCTACCTTCCACTGTACGAACTAAACTTGTGGATATAGTGTTCTTGATCGTAAATTTAGAATAAACGCATGTCTTAGTAGAATGTAGAAAAAAGGTGTACAGCACTTGAAAATGTACACAGTTTATACTGTTATCATATATATGTGTATATATAAAGTGATTATATACATATATTATACATGTAAAATGTGCCAGTCATAAGTTACACAGTGTGATAGGGACTTTATGTCCTATGAGCGTTATGACCTGGGCTATCTTAAGCCCCATATAACTAGCAGATGAAAATGAACTTCTTTTGTATTTTTCAAAAATAATTATAAAAGCAAAGTTTTAAAAATTATGTTTGTTAATCAATGCACTTTTATCTATGAAAATATAATATTCTACATAGTTTGCTGAAACAATTTTTGAGAATATATATAACTTTTTGACCTGTTTCTCCTAAAACTCTCTTAAAACCTGCCTTTGCTTCAAAAGAAGGAAAAACTAATTAACCTCAGCTAAATTGTTTCTTGCGCCTGCTTCTTTTCATAACTAAAAATTGTTAATATTTTTTACTGCGCAATTAAAATTAGATCGCCAAACTGAATAGCATTTCTACATTCAAAACAGATGCATTGAGCTGCAAGCTTATTAATAGAACAATTGAAGTTTTTTTTCTTGCTTCTGTCTTTTCTATTCCTTTTATTATAGCTAATTATTGTCTATATATACTGTGGCTTAACAGAAATCCAGGTACCAATAACTTTCATGCTTGAAATTTTAAAATTACTATGTTTGGTAAGGAATAATTAAGTACTCATTAATAATTTAACTAATTTAGCCTACATACATAAATAAATATATTTTAATGGCATTTTTAAGAACTTAAATAATTCCTCAATAATTGCTTCATTCTTACATCTGCTTCAAAATAACGTCTAATACGAATTATTTGACACAGTGTTCACGAAAGAAAAGCAAGACACGAAATCTGTGATACAATTTTACTGTTTCAATATCATTACAAAATCGATTCACAATTTAAATAAAAACGCTTAAATATGTTCTTGTACAAAAACACTTTTAAAAATAATGAAGATATTTTTTTCTCTCTTTGCTTGAGTTATTACTGATAAGTACTGAATTACTATATGATCGAATATCATGTAAATTAACGTTGACATTAATTTGAAGGCATTGGAAACTATATTAACAGAAAGCTCAGATTGACATTATGAAAAATTAAATTTTGAGTATAACATAGTTTTCTTAATTGACTCTTCATTGTATCTTTCTTAGCTGTGATGACCTTAAATGTTTTTCACCAAAAAAAATTCTATACTGTCTAGCAATTACTGTCCAATTGATATTGTAGTTCCCGCTTGTAACACTAATTTGAACTTTTGGTATTTTAACTTCACAAATCTTCACAAATCATCTAATTTTCACTTATTCTATTTTCTATACTCCATTTAAATTATTTTCTAATTAAATCACGTGTACGGTTTTTACTGATATACGTGTAAGTCCAACTTTATTTTTTTAACTCTTACAACTATTTGAGTTTTGTGCAGTTTATGTAATTCATGTATTAAATAATCGATACTATAACTGTAAGTTTGTCAGATTAAAATAGAAATATTGTACTAAAATACTGAATTAAGCTTTAACTGTTTCTAAAACTATTGCATTTATCTGGTTTTTCTTGCAAGCCACAGATATAATATATAACTTGATTTTAAAGTTTGTTTTAATTAACTTTCATAGTCTATAACTATATAATTCAGTCCTTCCAAATTATGTATAGAAAGTTTGGTATTTAAATGTGATTAACAACCGCACGAATTGTGTGTGGTGAATTAAATTTTGTTATAAACTCATAATATTTCAAATATTTTCAGTCATATTTCAAAATTTTTGTGATTTTTATTGATATCAAAACTGATCTCTTCATAACTAAAGAATAGTCATACTATTTTGTTCTAATTTACGTTACATTTTATATAAAATAGCTTGAATATTTAGTTCCTTTTTTATGTTATTTAAGATTTATTATTTCTTTGAAAATCAAGGAAATTTTAAATGCTTTTTTGTTATATTATGTGTCTGTAAAAATTTTATTGAAAAGAAACGAATTATATTTTAAGCCTTAATTAAGTTTTATGTACTGACAATTAGGCTTTATAGCAAACAATGGCTGCTTTTTGCTCTATCTTATGAATACTTTCTTACTCTGATTTTATTAAAAAGCTTCGCCAAATCTACTGTTGTAGTGAAATATTTCTAAAACATTCAGGTTAAGATATGTAACTGGCGGCATTTATTCCCTTGTGACTGTATTGAAAAAGCGTAGCTTGTAATTGCTAATGCTATATCAAATTTTCATTGCTGTGTACTCCTGCATTGCTGTATTACCAAACTTAAGTGTACCAAATAAATAAAATTACCTTTCTTACAAAATTGTATCTACTTTTTTTTAACTCAATACCAATAATATACATACGCGTCGTAATAGTGCATATATGCGTCGCAATAGTAAATATATGCTTCGCAATAGTAAATATATGCGTCGTAAGGTTAGGCGATATCCGCACCCACATCACTCTCTTCTACCAAGATAATCGCAAATCTTGCTTTTTTCCAGGCTAGTATATTCCCACTTAATAAAATGTACTGCCGTGGGAAAAAAGCAAAAAAAAATTTTTTAACCATAATAACGGAGAGGAGAAAAGTGTGGGGAGTGGGAAGATATCGTAACCTTTAGACATCTATTGTATTTACAAAGATTATAAAAGCGACCTTATTTTTACTCAAACACCGTTCAAAATGTACGACTCAGATGAGTACAAAAGAAGAATGGTAAGCAACGTTTGGCTAGTTATCTCTTTGTTTGTCTGAAATGAGACATTTAAAAAATATTTAAATATTTACTCAGTGTTTCGAAAAAAAAACAATTTTTTATTAATGGCGAATTTACTTATTTAGGCTTAATTGAAAAATGGAATAACTAATCATGATTCAGATCCATCGCCAAAATAGATAACTGAAATAGTACTATTAAATGTTTTGTTATCTCTAAATATTTGCTTCAAGTTTTGTTATTATTTGAAGTCATGGGAAAGATACAACCAGTTCTGTTACGTAACAATCCCTGCTTGGAGAGTAACAAACACTCTTCAAAAACGGTTTTTTTTTTTTTTTTTTTTATTAAANTTTTTTTAGGATTTTGGACAAAGTTGAGTCTTTTGGCTGTAATATCGGTTAACAGTTCATAGTTGATTGTCTCCCACAGGTAGCCTTATCGCTGACCATTTCACGATCGTCAAAAAATGTCTCGTGTCACTGTTTTAACTTGTCTATCCCCTCGCCATAAAATCAAAACAAGAAATAGCACATTTCAATAGCATGGAAACAAGAAATACCACATTTTAAAACGAGGAGTTTCACGCTCCCCTAATTCCCTTTCTCCTGCCGACTTGAGCCAAAACCTGTCGTAAATATTGGCACAACAACCCTATTTCAAATAGTTAAACCTCGTAACCATAGTCACCGCCACTGCTTCAAATGAATATCGGGGGGAATTTTTTCCATAGACAGACTATAGACTATTCAGATAAATTATTTTCACGTTTCTTTCGAGTAAAAATTTTGCTATTGCGAACTTGCAAATTTTCGCACTAAAACTTGCTGGTATAACGGCTTGCATGTGAGACAAAAATTAGAGTTTTGCGAAAATGTTTGTTCTTAATCCTTGGATGTCTGGAGACGACTGTGCAACCACGCATGTGTAAGCTCACCACCTTTTTTTACCACTTACTACCGATCTGGGTGAGTTAAAACATGGATAAGTTACACAATAAAATCAATGAGATTACTTTTCAAACACGCTATATGTGAGTCTGAATGACCCCTGTAGTGATACAAGGGTCATTCTCATTGCATCAGTATCATTTGATACGATTGATTTACACCATTCAAATTCTCCAAACTGAAAAAACGAAGGGAGAGTAATAACAGATAATAAAGGCAAAAAATTCATAATTTCAGGTGCACTGTAATAAGGGAATGTATAGTACCTTGGAACAATTTTAATTTTGTATTTTAAGTAAAAGAGTAATAATAGTTGTAATGCTTTATGTCACACTAGCGTTGCACACTGGGCTATTGGCGAGGGTCTGGGCAACATCCCTGAAGATGATCTGAAGGCATGCCGTGATAATTTTGATCTTCTACAAAAAGAATGGCACCCCAGTTTTGGTAGCGCGGTGACTTGTACGTGAAGACGAGCAGTTTGACGAGGACCCATACAGCACACCCTTGGTCCTTCACAGACTGATTAAAGTCGTCACCCACCCGCTCAGGAACTGCCCACATTCAGTACTGCTTGACTTACTATGAACCGTACCTTAGGATCAGTTCATTGTGGGACTAAAATGTACTAATTCAACTACCTTAGAAATTTTATGGGAAATGCACTATATATTTGTCAATTAATGTAATTTTTTTATGAACAGTTTTTGTCGAATAATTCAGGAAAAAAAAACATTGGCTTTTACACCTTAGATAACACTCATTTTGAGTTCTTTTCTCTTATATTTATTAAATTATTGAATTTGGATATTCATGCTAGTTTAATTTATTCTATAACCTGTACAAGATAATATGAATTAAGTTAATTATAAACGAATATTTCACTGGTCCATTTTAAGAATGCATAGAATTATTAACAACATAATTTTTTTTTTTAATTATGAGTATCATGATCAAAAGGGAAATGCATTTGTCTCAACCAGACCCGTTGCAAATACATTACAGAACCCGTTTTTCGGAAATCAGAAAACTGGAAAACCAAAAAACCGGAACGAAATTCGATATATTTTCCCGCCATTTTTTTAAAAAAAAATATTTTTTTCCGCATAAGATTTTAGGATTTTTCTTTCTTTTTTTAAAGATGTTCACCTTACCATCATTTTGGAAATAATCATTAGTGTATTACTTCATCGTTTTTTTTTCTTTTTAAGATTATTTCCAAATATTTTTTTTTTTTTGTTGGGTTTAACAATAAAAAAAAGGCTTTTTGTAGCGATTCAGAAAACCGGAAAAATCAGTTATCCGGAATAGCGATGGTCCCGATCGTTCCGGATAATCGGTTCCCTACTGTACCTTGGATGGGTTCAGTGTGTAATTACTAGTCCAACGTACAACACACATACACTTTTTTGATTTTGTTAGGCTCCTAACAGGAATAAGTTATTTTTCTTAAAAGATTGGGATTTTATCGTAAAGATAATGGTATTTTGGTACTTCTACCTCAGTATCTGTTTTCAAATGCAATTTCATTAAATGTATGTTTATCAAATTAATTGAAAACATTACTCACCAACATAAAAACAAAAATCTCTTGCACATGCCTCTACAGCTTAAAATGCTCCCCAACTTAGCCGATAGAACCTGTTGTTATAGTATAAACTAATTGAATGCAGGCCGGGATAGCCTGGACAGTAGGGCAATGGGCCCATGCCCGAGAGTTCGTAGGTTCGAACCCGGCCGACCGAAGACTCCCCGTATAGTAAATGGTGACTGATGCACGTTAAATCTGTCGAGTCGCAAAGTCCACCATGTTCCCATAACAAATCAACACCTCTGGGGGTACTGGATAGGAGATCGATCGCTCTCTGATTCAGGTCAAAATTGCGATCTGTAGAGGAAGGAATGGATGTATGAATGGGTCCGCTCTATGACGGGTGTGTAGCTGAAGACGAATTCTTGGCCATATTTGGAGCCACTTAAGAACAAGAAACACACCCTCTGCCTTAAATTTGCTCGGTTTCACCAAACAGGCTTGCTAGTGTGGCAAGTGGCATTAGAAACAACAACAACTATCCGAATGCAAGAAGTTTCTCTCGAGTCAGGCACATAACATATAATTACATTGGTTTTAGGTATGTGTGGTTCTGTCATCAGACAATAATTTGCACTGTAACGACTTTAAAATGTTTATTTTTGCTTTAAGTCTGTGCAAATGTGTGTGTGTGTGTGTTTTTAAAATGTTACTTTTAATTTAGCCCTCCTCTGATTTTTCGCCATTACTTCCCTGGATTCAGTAACCTCAGGTTGAGAAATCCTGTTTATAATTCCTGATTTAGACATATTTTTTTTTTTAATTTATATTTATTTCTATGCAATAAACTGATTTAATTAATTTCATATAAAGTTTTTTTGTAAATAATAAAAACTTTTTACATATGAATTTTTAATGCTTAATAAAACTTATACTTTTGTTATTTAGTATCTATGACATTTTGCATAAATATCCGTTGTGCGAACCCTTTTCTTTTAAATTTAATAAAACGAAAAATAAATCTCTTTGTGTTCTTCAAAGTAGTAAATAGTTTGTAGTAAATGTAAAAATAAAAACTTCACATTATTTTCCTAAATACAAAATTTTATATATCAGCTGAATTACTATACTTTTCAGTTATTTCTTTAAAATGAAAAGCATGTAATTAATATTAATTCTTCACAAATAATTTAAAAAACTTTATTTTATTATTTGGTTCATTAGCTTTTTGTTTATAAAAAATTTAAAATTTTAGTTACGAAAAGGAGTTGTTTTAGAACATTAATCAGATTAACTTTTATCAAAATTAGTTTTTTAATTTTACATTTGTAAACAGTCTAACTAGACGACAATAAAGCTAATTTTTAACTTAGTTTTCTTCAATGAAAGTTATTAAAATTGTAATAACATCGATTAATTGTTAATAAAACTCAATTTTTTAATATATTTTACAACTAAAATAAGACTGAATAAAGTTTACTTCTTAAAACGTCACTAGATGGCAACACAAGTACATCTTTATTCTTCGACTGAAACTTTTTCTCAGTCTCAGCAAAATTTAAAAAAACAGAAGCAAACAACCGGAAGCCTCCCACTTGTACATTAAAACAATCCAATGTCCAATGTTCGATTTCGTAGCAAATTTTAAACTGGCAATACGTTTGTTTGTGTTTTTCTTTCCTATTAACTTTTATTCTTCAGTGATATCACATGTTATAGGGTGAAACAACACCCTTTCAATAAATATCCTCGTTTACGCTACCTCAGAAGGTATGCTTATGTTTTGTTTTGTAGAAATAGACATTTTTTTTTATTCATAGTTTCGTTATCAGTTTGAAAATGATTTATTTGCAAAAAAAAAGTGGTTGTATTTGTTACCTTTCATGTATTTATTTTTGAAATATTTTTTTTTTCCTTTTCTTATGGGTTAAGTAACCTGTAATTTTCGTTATTTATTTTATTTTAAAAAAAGTATAATGGAAAATAAAATATACAATGGATTTTTCGGAATTTATGTTATATTCCAAGGAGAGCAGTGTGAAGATTTTAAACTATAGTTGAAAGTTAAAGTTAGATTTTAAACTATAGTTGAAAGTTCTTTTATTTTGTATATCTGTTTTGTAGCTAGAAGTTAGTCATGATTCGAATGTTTCATTTATTCACGTGTAAAGTTTTATAAACTTTTATTTTATTGAAATTTATTTCAATTTTTTTATTGACTTTTAAACTTTATTTGGTATAGGAAATTTAGAACAGAACAACCACGGTTATCAAGTTATGTGACAACTTGTTAGCTATAGGCATATATATATGTATGTCTGTCTATATATATGTCATGAAAGTTTATTTTGAGCAACATGAATTCTAGTTAAACATAATAACTAATTAGATAAAAAAAGAATTCGACAATACTTAATAAAGATAATAAAATATCACTAATTACTAAACTATTGTGGAATATGAGCTATTATATTTAATTTCTGCTAACTATTTTTAATAGTGTTTTTATTTCATTAAGTATATAGTTTAAAAATTTATACTTTATAATTAACTCATGAGTGGCAATCACTATACTATAGTGGCAATCACTATACTTTATATTAAATATTTTAGATATTTATTCATAATATGTTTTTTATATTTGGTCCAATTTTTTCATACTTTATATGATCAATTATTTATATTTAAATAACATAATTAGCCAAAGAAAAAGTCAATATTATTTTACATCTTGCTATATGAATTAACTATAAAATTTGTAGATATTACCCAAATATTTGTAAATATTGCCAAGCCCAAATTATAATTATTTTAAATCCCTTACATATTTTTAGCATAAGCATTCAATTTATCTAAAATATTTAAAACATTATAACTTGTGAAGGTTTCACTGTTTTATATTTCAAACTCAGCACTTCTGCATAAAGTGCTTGCCATCTTTATAGCCCATAAACACTGGTTCCACAACCTCAAAGTGCCCTATTTTTTTTCTGTCAAGACTTTATAAATCTGAAAAAAACAACAAAATTTTTTTTTTTTCTGTTTGTTAAAAATGTTTTAAATTATAAATGTCATAAAATTTTGTGTATATTTTTTATAACATTTCAAAGTGTTTCTGAGACATATGTTTCTAACTGCAGTTGTTTTTAAATTTTCTGTATTTTAAGTATTTTAATTTTTTTTCTATATCATTAACATTTAATTTAATTTCATAGCGCAATTTAATGTTAAAAAAATACTAAATATTACAATAAATAATAATGAATATTACACTATACAGACAATAATAATTATTTTTACCAGTGAAACGCCTTTATTTGCGATAATAGTTTAGAAAATTGTTTTCATTCATAAAATATCATCAATACTTGCAGTGAGCTTTGCATCTTTTATTCTTGAATAATCTACTTAACACTATTTCATACTGTTTATATAAATAAAATAGTTGCTATTGGAAGTTCTATTTGCTATAGAAGCTCTTCTTGGTGGGTGGCTTGAGTATTTTGTTCCAAATATGCCTAAAACAGAAAAAAATGATATTGCACACCAACTTTAGATGAACAAAAAAGCAAAGTACATAAAAAATTCTGAAATAAATTTCACTATAAACAAATTATTTTTTGCTTTTACTATTATAAAAATCTTCAAAATTGATTTAAAAAAAAAAAAAAAAAAAAAATGGTTGCAAGCTGTAAGTTCNAAAAAAAAAAAAAAAAAAAAAAAAAAAAAAAAAAAAAAACTTCGCCCACATTTCCCCATTACTACACTCTTGTCATTAATGAGCGATTTAGTTAATTTCTTCTAGTATATTTGGAAGAAAAAAAATGTTACTCTTCCAAAATTCATTCTATACAAACTTTAGAAGTGTAAAGATTTTAAAAGTTGTCTAAATCATATTTTTAGTCTACTACTTATTTTAAAGCATGATATCTAGAAAAACAAGTTTATTAGGGCTGTTGGAATAAATGGAACAAAATGGTCATCAATGTGTGTTTTTAATTATTTGTATATTTTAGTTCATAAACTTCACCTACGCTTTATTTAATCAATTTTTTATCACTTCGATTTGAAAGGGTAATTTCATACACAGCCTAAGAAAAAGGGTTAGACAAAGAAAACAATTTCATTGGAACCCGTCAGTCTAGGCGATTTCTGTAGGATTTATTCTTATACATTCGCAAAGCACATCTTCATTTCTTAGTTGAAGCATAAAAAATATAAATTTTTCAGTGCAAATAGGATACCAATTTCGCAATTTTTTTTCAAAAAAATACCTCGTAGGAACCTAAGTAGTTCATACAAATTATAGTAAATAATTTAATATAAATCTTACTTTTTAGCAAAATGCGAACTTCCAGTTGCCTCCTTTCAAATTATCGTTAAGAAATCGAAGGAGAAATAATTTAATTAATCCTAAGAAAAGAGGTAATATTATTTGTAATAAATTCATCCTGTTTGTTAAATGAGAAAATAATTTTGTTAAATGTATGAAACTTCCTCCAATTACTAGAATAATGAAAACTTAATTCAACAAACAATGGGAGAGAAGTTGAGTGACGTATTGCAACATCCAGGTTGTCACATAGATGAACAGAGCGGCTATTTTTCCTCCTATTGAGGTGTCATTCTTTATTTTATTTTTAAATAAAGAATTTATTTTTAAATATAAATTTATTTATTTTTAAATTAAAATTAAATTTATTTTTGAAAAAAAATTTCAAAATCCATTTTCATACATTTATTAATAATATCATGAAATTTTAAAAACTTTTTTATATAAAAAAAATAGAGAGATTTTACTTAAGACGGTTGCTTTCTGACGAAATTGATTAAATGATGTGAATCGTGGTAACAACTAGCGATAAAATCTTCTAAAATCGATAATTCCAACTAAATTTCATTACTGACAATCAAAACAAGTACTTAATCGTATGATTAAGAAAAAAATTGCTTATTGCAATATGGCCGACCTTAGGAACTGTAGATACCTTTTGATTGACAGTGAAAAATCTCATTTTAATCAGATTTTTTTGTTTAAATATTTAAGATATTTAGATATCAGATATTCAAGCAATTAATATTTGAGACATTATTATTTGAGCAATTTAATATTTAATCATTTAACTTTTGCAAAATTTGGCAATTTTCCGTGATTTTTCAGCTTAAATTAAAATTATTAAAAACGATGAATAGTAGTTGTTGTTCATTTACTTCGCACTAGAGCTGCACAATGGGCTATTGGTGACGGTCTGGGAAGCATCCCAGAGGATGATCCGAAGACATGCCATCACAATTTTGATCCTCTGCAGAGGGTATGGAACCCCCGCTTCAGTAGCTCAATGACCTGCACGTGAAGTCGAGCACTTTACGGTAGAACAGTTTAACGAGGACCAATACCGCACACCCTCGGTCCCTACGCAGAATGATCCAAGTGGTCATCCACCCGCACACTGACCGTAACCAGTGATGCTTGACTTCGGTGATCTGTTGGGAACCGTGACTTAACGATCAGTAAATGCATATTTATGTAAGTTTCTATTGTGGTATACCAAATAATACAGCATTTAAGTAATTTTCCACATATTAGACCACAAACGCGTTTAATTTTCTTTAACTGATTCTTTTCTTCATTTTGATATTTTGAATCTTTTTTATAATTAGTATGGCGTATAAAAGATGAACATATATTAATCTTACAATCATGACCTGATCTCTTACAAATTCCAAACAGTTAATAAAAAAAAAAGAAACAATAAGGTTATTCGCCAAAAAGCGTTAAATTTCGTATGAGGACAGCGCTTTCAAAGAACTTCCTTAAACAAGACACTACATTTAATCCTTATATCTTGATTCCGTCCTTTAAGACTAGTATTTAATTGCAAATAGTTTCCTATATATTACAGTAGTTCAGCTAGACTTTGGTCCTTCGGTTTTCCATATTTTTGGGTAAATTTTTACCAAAATAGAAATCCTACTTAAAATATGAATCTATCATCATATTAATATTCACATTTCGCTTTATCCCTCTAATATTCACATTCCAAATTTTCTATCTATTGATTGACATAACAATTTAAAAATGAGATTTATATTTGAACACTCAAGGCTTTTAATTAGGATTGATCAAACAGCTCTTGCATCAACGGAACGCAACGTAGTAATTGATTGACGTAATAATTTCAAAATGAGATTTATATTTGAACACTCAAGGCTTTTAATTAGGATTGATCAAACACTCCTTGCATCAACGGAACGCAACGTAGTAATTGATTGACGTAATAATTTCAAAATGAGATTTATATTTGAACACTCAAGGCTTTTAATTAGGATTGATCAAACACCTCCTGCATCAACGAAATGCAACGTAGTAATTGATTGACATAATAATTTCAAAATAAGATTTATATTTGAATACTCAAGGCTTTTAATTAGGATTGATCAAACTCCTCCTGCATCAAGGGAATGCAACGTAGTAATTTGACATCAAAATTGCTCTAATTTTCTCTTTCAACTATTAACAACAAACGAAGAAAAATAATATATATATACTATCTTCTTTTTTGCAATTATGTCAATTATGAGTTAATCAATCTATTCTTAACGTTTTTTATTTTGCTTTGTGTTGCTAAATTTGTTTTTTTCTTTATTTACTACTTTACAATTATAATATTATAGATAGATAGATACAGATAGATAAGCGTAAGTGTAATCACTGGTTACAGTGGTTACGGTAAAAAAACGTTAAGAATAGATTGAGATTAGTCAACCTATTCCTAACGTTTTTTATTTTGCTTTGTGTTGGTTAATTTGTTTCCTTCTTTATTTAATACTTTACAATTATAATATTATAGATAGATAGATAAGCGTAAGCGGAATCACTGGCTACAGTGGTTCCGCTTTCGCAAATTTTTAAATATAGTATTTCAAAAATCTTTTTTCTTTTCAGATCAAATATGAAGTTTATGGGAATAGAGTTCGCTCCTCTTTCTATACCTTTGGAAAGAAGAATACAGACATTAGCAGTATTTTACTATTGTTCAAATTTTTTATTGCTAGGTTTTATGACATTTGCAATTTTAGGTTATTTGTGTTTCACTCAGTATTACTATATACCTCTTTTTTATGCAATTTGGTTTTTATATGATTATAAAACACCTGAACAAGGTGGACGGCGCTGGGAATGGTTGCGAAATTGGCGAATGTGGAAATACTTTGCCAGTTACTTTCCAATCAGTCTTATCAAAACTGCTGATTTTGATCCAAATAAAAATTATATTATTGGATATCATCCGCATGGTCTTTTAGGTTTTGGAGCTTTTACTACTTTTGGAACTGAAGGAGTTAATTTTAAAGAGACGTTTCCTGGCATTACACCTCGTCTATTGACTCTTCAAGCACAGTTTAACCCTCCTCTTCACCGAGAACATATCATGTGTGCAGGTAATTTAGAGTTAAAGTATATGTTATTTTGCATTTGATAAAAATTATGATTTTAATTAGATGTAAACTTCCATTTCAATTTGGCATTTCTTTTTTTTCACTGGCAGCAGCACTATAGTGATATTAGCACTGTTGTAGAGCAAATTGGTGTGAGTCACTGCATCATGGGGAGAGTGGAATCTAAAACCATGAAAAATAACACTGAAAAAAAATTTTATTTCTCTTGCAGGACACTTTTTAACTTATCTTCGATATTTTCACAGGACATTTTTTAACGTATCTTGGATACTTTCACAGGGCATTTTTTAACGTATCTTGGATATTTCTTGGAAGTCACTGACTTCAAGTCTACAATCGGTTTCCCTCTTCAAGCTACAAATTTTTTTATGACATTTTTTAATCTACTTTTATACAAGTTTAAAAATTTTATATATAACAATGGGCCGCGTATATGTTATGAAATGCTTCTACGGGAATTGGGGCAAATTATCAGGATTAAAATTGCATACGAACCCATACCCAGAAATACCGTCATACGCCGCTAGGGGCTTCCCTAATATGAACTGTTTCTTTGTGGTGTGCTTCTGAACACGTCCCAATATGGAAGCGCTTGTACATTTCGCAAAAAATAGACTAAAAATGTCATTTAATAAAAGCTCGAACTTTAAAAGCAAAACTAATTTCAGATTCGAAATCCCACAATAAAATTAAGCAATATTAAATATATGTATAAGTGCAACAAAATTTTTTTTTATTTGGATAATGCTTGATTTTGACAAATATCAAATCATATGAAGTTTTCAAAGTTATTTTTAAGTAAGTTTTCCTATTTTTATTTTATTGTAACCTCTATACTTTTTCTCACCATTAGCATAAAATAATTCTAAATACTTTTATTTATATATTTATTTTTACTTTTTATTTCTTAAAAATCAACTTGCATGTAGAAGATTTCAGATTTGTGTATTAATAAAACTCACAGGTCGAACTACTTTAAGCACTATAAAAAAAGTACATAAAGCGTTATTGTTTTTCTTTTTATTAACCACAATTCCTAGTATCAGCTGTAAGGGAATGAAATATAATCACAAATCATGAAGGAAAATACAGGTGTATATAAATAGCTAATTTCGCAGTTTACAAATTCAAATCATGAAGGAAAATACAGGTGTATATAAATAGCTAATTTCGCAGTTTACAAATTTCCTTAACCTTTTGACACAGATGGGCACCAGTTCTTTTTTTCTGACTCCCTAATTACAAGCAAAAATGTATTGTATTTTTTAATTATAAAAAACAATCTAATAGTTACTAAAAATCTGTCAAATTATAGGAATTATATTTGTACTAAAATAAAAAATCCAAAAATGTAGTTCAAAAAAAATTTTTGTTTCATATTCAAAAATTTATCAAGAATTTTGTAAGCTAAAGACATTTAAATGATGAATAACTGTTTCTCTTACACTGCAAATAAGTTGAAATTTGAAAAATTATTTTTTGGAACTGAGCTGTGTTTGGAATATTTCACCTTTAATGCGGAAAAAGTCATCAATGTTTCATGCTGTATTTCATAGCCATAAATTATTAAAATTCTAAATATAATATTTACTTATTTTGACCTAAAACTTTACAAAATAATGAAAAAAGTGTGAAAAATACGCTTATTTAAAATTCTACGTCAAAGGATCACAGTTGCGTCCAAATTTAACACAACAAAACTTCAATTTGTTAGTATTGCAAGCGGATTATACTAAAACTTATTTTTTAATAAAAAAAAAGTTAAGATTATAAAGTGAAAACTAGTTTTATGTTTATTAATTTTTCCTGCCCCACTATACCATTGGTATAGTCTTTTAGGTAAACAAAAAGCAACTGGCAAATTCGAATAAAGGGCTTGCTCTGTGGAAACTCATAAGTCAGTCATGCTAACGCTCTAGAATTGTTTTATATGTAGATTATCTACTATTTTTTCAAAGATTCGATAAAAGTGAAGTAATGCAATTAGTTTAATTCAATTATAAAAAAAGAAAGTTGCAATTAGTTATTGTACCACGTGTTAATTCAATATTTATTCAGAATAATCAATTTAAAATCTCGTTCAATGACAACCTTATCTTATTTGATTGACTTTTTATCAAGAAAACACCCTAAGATTTGATATGTTTGTTGTCATAAAAGCGTATAATCAGTGTTGTTGAAAGTTTACTATATTATTTAAGACTTCTTTGGAGGCTAAAAATTCGGTAAAGAGTTATTAATATCGGTGTTTTTCGAATTTTCGATAAAACAATCTGTCTTTCCTAAATGAATTTATTTCATTGTTTTGTGTTGTTTTTATTTGATTTTGAATACTTTTTTAATTATTTTTCTCTTTTTTTTACATTTTTAAACTAATTAGAATTAGAAACTGGTGATTTAAATTCTTAAGAATTTCCATTGAAATTAGTCAATGCATTTGAAATATGCCTTTAGTTTCATTTTTCTACTACCGATTCTATTCGCACAATTTAAAGACGAATTTTTATGAGTTATTTCTCAATTCAAGTTTTTTTAAGAATAGTTTTCGAATAGAATGTATTAAATTTACTTTTAAATTTATTTAAACCAAATTTCAACTATGATGTGGGAAGTAAATAAGCTTAAGTGGCGGTTAAGACCAAAAAATGAAGTATTTAGAAAAAATAGCAATGAAGTCAGTAGAAGTATATCTTACAAGAAAATGACAAGTGTAATATGAAGTTTTGACATCGATCTAAGCTTTTTCTATGCATGTTAGATTGCTGAATTCAATTATATACTATTTATTTTTTGATTAGTTGAGAGGTTTTTAAATTATTGTATCCTCCAAAATTTTTCATAAAAGAATAATAATAAAAAAACTGGCTGTTATAAATGATATTTTTAATACTTTTACAACAGCCAGTAACAGAAAAATTAAGTCCAAAAGGACATTAAAAAAATCGTGAACCAGCTACTTATAAGGAGCCAGATTCAAGAACTTAAGTTACCTTTTCGGCATCATTTTGGCACTGACTGTTTTGGATTTGGAGTTTTTTGATTTACTACTTTTGTAAAATATATAGTATCACCTACGTTTTTATTAATTAAATTTGTGTTTCTTTTTGTTCTTCGTACAGTGCGCAAAAAAGTAAACAGACCAGGCTAAATAACTTTTGATCTACTGATCGGATCTCCACTTTCTAGGACTTAATCTTAATGATTCAAGAGGATGACCTCAAATGTGCTGATTTATTAATTGAGACGATACTATAAGTTAGGAAATAAGACACAAAAATGTACTTTCTCTGAATAAACTTTTTTTTCGATGAATTCGGATTTCTGACCCCCGAAGTATAGGGGGTAGCAGCAATCTGGAAAATAGGGTCCCAGTAGTTTGGTCTGGAGAACGATCCAACGTTTGAACCCTTTTCTGTTAATTTTGTTTTTTGCGAATTTCGTCGTATCTCGAGAACTTTAAAAAAAAATTTTTAAAGTTATGTTATTAAAATTTGTTTTCTCAGGAACTATCCTGCCGATTTCAAATTTTGTATTTTGCCATGTAAAATTAGAGTCTTTAAAATTATGTAAAATATTATACCTTACAATTCAAAATTTTTTTGTCTATTATTAAATAAAAAAGCAATAAATATCTACTTAGTTATTTTTTGCATGGAATTACGAACGAATAAACGAATTTTATAATTGAGTGTAAAAATTTTTCAATTCACCTAAAAAGTTCTCCAGATATGGCGAAATACGCAGAAACTGAAATTAACATTAAGGGGTCCAAACTTTAGACCACTCTCTTGACTACACTTTTGGGACCATATTTCCCAGATAGCAGCTACCACCTATATTTACTGGGTCAGAAATCTGAATCCGTCAAAATAAGGGTACATTTATTCAGAGAAAATGCATTCTTGTGTCTCATTTCATAACTTAAAATATTGTCTGCTAATATTGTTGATTGAGGCCTGGAGGGTGAAGATCCGATCATTTAATGGAGAGTTATACAGGGTGGTCAGTTTTCTTATTTATTTCTTTGCTCACTTACTATTTGTATCCTTTTTATAATTCTGTAGGAGTATGTTCTGCATCCAAAGAAAGTATTAATTGGGTTTTAACCAGGGAAGGAAAAGGAAATGCACTCGTGATAGTTCTTGGAGGAGCTGCTGAAGCATTGGATGCACATCCTGGGCAAGCCACTTTAGTTTTAAGGAAAAGAAAAGGATTTGTAAAATTAGCTCTTAAACATGGGTATTTTTTCTTTTTTTAATCTTAAAGATACAACTCTTTATAAAAAAGTTTTAAAAAATGACAACTTAGCTTAAATTATGCTCTTTTTTCAAACAAATATGTTTTAGTTCTTATGTTCAAGAACTGAAATACTTAATTCAGCTACAAAATAATATAGTATTTTAATATTTATATAAAATATTTTAATACCTATATGAATTATATTCCTTATACTTTTCAGGTGCAACTAATTTACTTGTTTTTATACTGTTTTAAGAAACCGATATCTCTCTAAAACATCTCCTTTAAAACATCAATTGAGTCTGCCTGATGCAAACAATTTTAAATCGAGGGGAGGAATCGAGATTTTTTGCCACCATATTCAATTTGTCTGTATTAAATCTCGGAATTTTCTCCCCTCTCCTGGCTAAACTGGGCCATATTTTCCAGTTGGCAGATTTCGCAACTATAAATATCGTCAGCTGTTAATTAGCAATTTAGAGATGGTCAGTCAAACAATTAAGATCGAATCTTAGAATGTGAAAATCTTATCGTTAGATCTACAGTTATACAGGTGTTAAGTATTTTTGCCGCACTACATGAAATGTAAAATGATTGGACTAAAGCTGTAAAGCAGTTGAAATAGAAGTCAAAAATGCACGTTGAGAAACATGTTAATAAGTATTTGAGAAACATGTTAAAACAGAAATCACATTAGTTTTCTATGAATAATCAAACGCATAGTGATGTAAAGATTAAGTTTTTTGTGTGTCGTTTTAGAACAATAAGAATAGTTTGGAATTGGTCGTTTGGAAAATTACAAGAATGTTCTACAAGTGTACGGAACACTAGCCACTAGAAAAAATTTTGTTCGATAGTTCATATACCCACGCAACGGGTAAAGATAGCCACGGGAAAAGAAATTTGATGTGCTGTCGTTCATTTCCTTTTCGTCTATAAAGGAAACTGTTGCTTCCTTCTTGTCAGAATCAGAAGACAAGATTTCAAAACGATATTACATCAAATGTAAGGTCAGTAGTAAAGGAGAATTTAAAAAATAAAACTAATATCACTTCAGGAGAATATTGATTGATATTTTCTTTAACTCTAACTAAAAAGCAATGGTTTGCTACTGTCTTGCCATTAAAAATCACAGCTTCCCATGAAGGTACATATTTAAGGGTGCGTAGCGTTTTTAAAAAGTGCTTAAAGGTGCTTATTTTCGATTTTTGTTTTTTAAAAGCCCTTAAAGGTGCTTTTTTCATTGGGAATTTTTAAAAAGTGCTTAATTTTCCCTTTTCCAAATTGAGATTTTTCCTTTACCATGTTGATTTTAGCTGCGAATTATGCAGAAAGACTTTGTTCACATAGTTCTATTCAACGTTTTCACAATTAATTCAACCCGTCTATTTTAGCGCATCGTCAGTCCGTAGCGTATGAAAACGCCATTCGATTTACATGATTCAAAAATTCTGACAGTTGTCAAAAACAATGCCAAAAGATTCTTTATTTTGACATCACGGTTGAAACCAGATAAAACCGACGATTGTCAAAAACTTTCCAACCTTGCCTAATTGTGATATTTTTTTAAAGTGCTGAGAAATATTATTTGAGTGCTTGAAAAGTGTTATATTGAGAAGTGTTATATTATTTGAGTGCTTATTTTTTGTTGAATAATTTGGCTACGCACCCTGTATTTGTATTTGTACTGCTCAAAACAATTAGGAGATATTTTGATTTTAGATATGACCTAAATATGATGAAATCCTTTGCTAACTCATCCGTAAAGTTGTTGCAAATTAAAAAATAAAATAAAGCAATAATTAAATTACATTGACGATGCTTTTTGTTAAATAAAAAATGCACAGTTTATGCCGACTACATTAACAAGGAAAAAATGCAATTTTTCTGTTAAAAATGAGTTTCAAAAAGCACTATGGTTTTCCCTGATCAAAGACAATGGTATACACTTGCAAGACATGGAACCCAATAAAGTTATCAGAGAGTGGCTCTGTGTTCATTCTTACTCCTGCTTCAAGGAAAATTTCAACTGCTTAATTGTTTCTTGAGGTGTTAAGCGACTAGCAATCTTTCTGTATAGAATGTCCCAGATATGTTCTATTGGATTCATATCCGAGAAGCATTCTGGTCAATATAATGGAAGGATTTCTTCTGTGTGACGTAAATTGCCCAAAAACTGCGTAATATGTGACGCTATCATCTATAAGAAAAATTTCTCCGATTGCTACAATGTGGGGAACTACGATAAGTCTAAAAAATATATACTTAATTCGTTAACGATTATTCATGAAAATGTACTGATCGATACGACCATTGAAATAAAAATCGGGCCAGACCATCATTTCGCCTCGACCAAATTAAACATTATCATCCACAAATATGGGATTATTATCACATTCTCTACTGATGATAATCTGTTTGTTGTCAGGTTGCACTCTGAAGCAGGACTCTTGCGCGAAGAGCTCATTGGTCTGCTTATCTCGTCTCCACCAATGATGTTCCAAAACCCATCTTCGGCAGAAGCACTGCAATTTCCTACCAACTATATACTAAACATAGATCTCTGAGCATACAAACACACGTGGTAGAGGCGGTTTCAGAAAGTTTGAATCTAAACTCTGGTACAAGTAGCCCTCTTAGAGTGTATCTAAGAATTCCATCTATGACGTAGCTCCTTCAGGCTGTTAGTGCTAAATATCATTTTTCATGTTATGTTGCTTTCCAATCATTGATGAGTTTCCAGTTTATAAAACCCAATTCCTTAGTCTAGAAATGACACTTCGATTCTGAACATTCGATGGTCTTCAAGGTTACCGATTCAGAAAAGACATTTTACGCAGGGATTGTATTCTTTGCTACAGAACAACGTTTAACGCTTGTCAGTTGTTTTAATTTGCTCCTGCTGATTAAATACTGCAAATTGTTTTTCATTCTTTATTAAAGATTCTCAGGGCTTGAAAATTACATTGTCCGACGTGCCCGGGGCATGTATATTTTTAAGTATGTGGCATGTTAGTGGATAACTAAAGCTGTAAAAATTCATAAATATTGTATTTAAAAATAAATCACCCATGAAAATATTACTTTTTTTACGTATTTGAAAATAAATATTGTACGTTCTTCGACAAAGGGAAAGATGCCACTCTATGCAGGAGATACATTAGTATAGCGACATTAAGAACTCAATTGTGTTCGGGTTTTTTTTTTCTAAAAAAATAACCTAAACTTTCTAAAATATTATTGCAATGATACAAAATTGTGAGAGTATGCAAGTCTAAAGTACGTTAACCTTATAGTAGACTAGGTGTCCGCAAACGTGTTAATTGTTATTATGTAATGCATCCTGAGCTTTTCGATGAAATCTTTAGTTCCGTTAATTTACATTTGGAACAAGAAATAAAAACTCATAATTGGATATCGTATATTCGGTTTAATGTAAGCCTAATTTTTCAAAATAAAAACAAACCGTTCCGTTTAATTAGTGCTGAAGAATTTTCGATAAATGTCTTTTTTATGAATGTATATATAGACGGATGTAATTTGCACTTTCAGTGGTATATACTTACTCAAATTTTATATTTGAGGTAAATTTATGAAGATGTTAGACTTCAAGCTTTGGATCATTTTTTTTTTTACAAAGTACACTTAAATGAAGACAGAAAGTTCATAAACATCAAGATTTCTTTACATCTTTTGTATAATTTTTGGCTTAGCAGCTTTTTGTTAACGAAATGCTAGCAAGTTATGTATGTTTTACTAAATAAAACTTTTCTTTTGCTTCAAAGAACTATATTATATTTATAATCCGTTCTTTTTATTTTTAAACACCTGCCTTTTGTTAAAATTTGAATATTCATACTTTTAACTTCATTTCTTTTTAATACCTAAAACACTAGTTTATTAGTCATTGCTAAAATATTTTCTTGTAAGAAACCGTGGTTATTTTCGTATGTTGATTTGTAAATACTTTTCATGCTGTTTTCATCCATTTCTGTTCTAAGTACATTTGGCATGGTAAGATTTTGCAAATTAATAATTGTATTTCAAGAAAACAATATTAATCTGTAATTTTTTTTTTGTATCTAGGGCTTCATTAGTTCCTTCGTTTGGGTTTGGAGAAAATGATCTTTTTGAACAAGTTGAAAATCCTCGAGGATCAGCTTTACGAGAGTGGCAGGATAAAATTAAGGATTTACTTGGCTTTTCCACTCCTATTTTCCATGGAAGGGGAATTTTCCAATACAATTATGGATTTTTACCTTATAGAAAACCCATTAATGTCGTGAGTAAGTATCACGTGGTTTCCTAAGTTGCAAAACTTGCTATCTTCGATTTGAGGAGGAGAGGGTTCGTAAGATTGCTATCAATGTATCAAGTTTTTCCACAGTTTTTATAAGAACAATCTCTTGCTAAAATTACAATTAGTTTAATGACTAATTAAAAAAATAATAATCCTAATAAATATACTTCGTTACTTATTTTCAACATTTTCTCCATTTTATATAAACAGCAGTTGACGAGTTTTGTGTCTCAGCTTTTACAGTAATAATGTTCATACAGGTTTGTCAAAATGAAACTGGCGGCCCACAGAGACTCTTCTCATTGATTTTTCTGATTGAAAACGAATAAAACTTTAAATTTACGTTACGAAATAGATGACTAGTTAACTTTTCATTTAGTGGCATAGCTAAGTAAACTGTTAACCAAGCTTAAAGCCAAAACGTAAATATTTTCCACATAAAAATCTCACTATTTTTCCTGAATATATTTTATTTTGAAACCGTCGTTGAACAGCTGACCCAAATTCAGTTTACGATTATCAATATTCAACTCCGTAGCTTTGTAATTTTGAAACCAATCCAGAAGACAAGGGAACTCCTGGATCAAGTATTGGAAGAAATTTTGCCTTTGTGGAGGACTATTTGAAGGAACTAACTCGCATTTGCGTTACATAGAGAGGTAAACCACGAAAATCTCCCATAGTTAGTCTGACGGAAAGGAGATTCTAACCCATGATCTATCTACCACTGATGATATTTTTATGTCAGCACTGTGTTCGGTGCGAGCCAGGTGCGGAATTGTATCGACCAGCGAAAACAAAATCAATTCCAAACGAAATTAATTCTGAGGCATGTGAGTTCCTTTTTCACAAACATACACAAGGCAGAGCTTGTTATGTGATAGAACCATTTGAAGCTCTTTCCTGGCTTCGAAGATCTCTTCAGCATTGCAAACGAAACAGTTTAGAAGCTCCGTTAAACGTTCGAGTTGCGTAATTATGCGGCCGAGGTTTCCACTGGAGCAAAAATCGAAATATTAAAAATCGAAAAATCATTATAATGAAATCAGGCTGACCACCAACGGAGTATGCAAACTATGAGGCATCTGCAAACCATGAGGCATCTGGAAGGCGAATTTTCATATGTTTGCATAAACATACGCTTTTCACGGCTTCGCGTGCTAATGAACGTTTAAGAGTCTTTTTTTTTCTATGCTTCTATCCTAAAACAGGAGAGTCCGTTAAGATATATAAGATAAATGTATCATAATAAACAATCATAAAATTTGAGATGAATACATGACAGTGCTTCATCCATCAATTTTTATTATATTGGAGTATCACAGGAACTAGGATATGCCAAAACTCCCGGTTTCCATCTTTAAACATGGTTCGAAATGAAAACTATCTTATTCTTACTGTCATTCACGTATCTCCAAATTCGAATTCAGTTGGGATCTGCTGTTTTTATTCTGAATTATTAACAATGAAAACAATTAAGATAAATTCGTAGAAGTAAAGATTTATGCCTTATTTTTATTCTCATCTATTCAATGGAAAATGGGGGAAGTGTACTATATATATGTATATATTTTTAACATTTGAATACAAGCAAATACTGAAATTAAGAAAAATAAAATTTGATGCATGCGAGTGTTTCTGTATTAGTGTCGTAAGTTTTTGTGGCAACATTAGAGGCGTTGATGATTTATTTGTCTAGTTAAAAAAAATTTTATAAACCTATTCAATAAGAAAATATTTCAGGTAGAATGTATAAAATATGAACTTTTATTTCGTTACCAAAGCATAGATTTATATTAGCTTCTTTTCGAAAACTATTTTCCATCAAATATGAAGTGTTAATAGTTGAAAAAGTAACCACAATATCGCTATTTTTCTCTTATCCATGTTTCAAAATGTGTAAACACTAAACCTATAGTGGTATGTAGGTTACAGGAATTCTTTTTTATTTTCACTTTTGTATGCAAGTTTTATATGTGGAGTAAATTATTGAGGTACGAATGCAAATTAAGGCTTTAAATCTATGTAAAATATCAAATATCTTAACAGTTTTTCGAAACTTAATCAAATAAAGATCAAAAGGAAGAAGAGCGTTTATGTTTTTTTTTTTTTTTTGCAAAAAAGAAGATTGGATCGACATTTGTTGAAGTATGGGCCTTCCGCCATTTATTTTTTCTTTCTATGTCAAAATGTGTTAGTAGAGTTAACCAACATAGATGATATAACTGTATTCTCAAAGAAATAATTAGTAGTACAGTATTGTTCCCCAATATTGTAATATGCCTAACAAACTAAAAAGAGTAAACCTTTCTTCTCCGCTCCTATCTCAATAGTGGTTGGAAGGAGAGGAGATTGCAAGCCAGTTTCAAGAACCTCTGCTGCTGTATCCCTAAATGCTGTTTTTTTTTAGTTTGCTGTTTTTTTATACTTAGGGACCTCCCCAAACATTGAGGGACTGGTTTACATTATGTCTGTGGAAGCTAGCCTTCTTAAGGCCTGTTTAGACGATCCAATTTCTTGGACAGAGATTGATTGATATTGATGGAAACTTGTTTTGCTTTGAGCTTGGATCGTGTAAACAAACATCCAAGAACTTGGTCCAACTTCTTGGACGATAGTAGAGCATGTTCTACTTTCCATCCAAGTTTTTTCTCCCTTAACCAATCACCGTCCTAGGTTTTGTGACGTCAACAAGCAGGCAGCAAATTATGACATTTTGTTGTCTGTTTTCATATATTTTAGTCCAGATAAATTGATCTGTTGCGGTTTATTTGTGTTATTGTGATTTTATATGAATTTATTCAGTAATTTTAAAGTCATATAAGTATGATTTCATAATGTTGAATATGAACAATGTGCATGCGCAAGTGTTTCTCCCGTCCAATCAGTGACATTCAAGAACTTGGATAGTGTCAACGAATCATCAAATTTCTTGGACAGAGAAATCCGTCCAATTTCTCGGATACAAGAAATTGGACCGTGTAAACAGACCTTTACCCTATGTTTATTCTTTGCTTTGAATGTACCTCCGACGAAAAGACAAGTAAGCGAAAAAAATAACAAATAGTACAGAACAAAAAAAGGCGATAACTCTAGTGATATTGCTTAAGGAAGAATTCTGAAAGAAAAACGATTCTTGTTGAATTGATATTCAATTTTTTAACATCCAAAATTATAAATTTTTTGGGGGGAGGGGGTATACATAAGTACTTGTGACATTTGTGTATGCTTTTATTTTTAAGATTTCAATCATAGACTTGCTCCTGTTTATTCTCAAGCTTTAAGACTAGTTACTTTTCTCAGAATCAGCTTTCATGTACATACAAAGCTTGCTCGTACCTTGATCTTCTGTTATTATTTGCAATTTATCAATTATTATCTATGGTATATTGCATAATTTACTTTTACAGTTGGAAAACCAATTGACGTGGAAAAAATTCCTCATCCTACTGAAGAAGACATCAATAAGTTGCACCAAAAATACATCGATAGCTTAACAGCATTGTTTGAAGAACATAAAGTTAAATATTCTCCTGATGTTCAACTTATTATTTAGTGAAGTATTATTTTAACTTTCGCTCAATGTGATTTCTGTGATTTTTCTTTCATAAAAAGTATTACTGTGATGATTATTTTATGTATGAGCTAAATGCCAAATATTTTTATTGCGTGGAAATTTATTAAAACATGTTCAGGTATCATGGATTTGGAGACATGTTTTTTTTTTCGAAATAAAAAGTATATTTACAAAGTGCATATTTATTTCCTTGTAAAATCATGTGAATATCTTAAATTATATTTTAATATAAAAATCAAATTTAATTCTTTTTTTGTAATAAAAATGCTTTTATATTTTGCTTTTTAAATTCAAGGCTAAGTATTAAAAGTTCAGAACAACTATTTCTATAGATGTTAAAAATATTTACTAGATTAAAACCAAGTAATTTGAATCTAATTATTTGTATTCTCCGTCTTTGTTTTCCGAATATTTCCAATTCGTATAAGCTGCTTATGATATACAGAATAAACATAAAATAACGTGAGGTGCTTGGAGCCCCCCAACCCTTAATATGGAATGTAAAAATATATAGCGTACAAGCTCAGCAGAGTAAGTGATTTAAATTTCTAAGAGTAATAATTTTCTGCGAAAAGTCGCCGATACAGTAACATTTTGTACTTCAAGCATTACGAAATAAATTAATACATGTTAGTCAACTGAAACAATAAATGTATGGAAGATAGTATTCATTATTACTAATAATTATGGTTCAATATTATCGTCATTCTGATGGTCTAGTAATTGTATATCAGGCTTGGAGCTCCAAATTTTCCCTTATCGACGACTTAAACAGTGGTTGGTAAAATTCTTTTTATGAAAATTTAACCCATACTTCGGTGAGCATCTAAGAAAAAAAATTTTATATTCCTAACAAGTTCGTCTTGTGTTACGAGGCTCTAAGCACTTCGCGTTGTTCTACGTGCACGCTGTAAAAAAATCTGTAAAAATTTCTTTTATGGTAGGATCAGAAAAGGCATAAACTATTTTTAAATATTAATTTTTTTTGGAATTTTTATCACTGACTGTTCCCGCATCAAGCATTCAGCTGATATTATAGTTTTTTTTTCAATACAATAAAAAAATTCCTAAAGCAATGTTTTTCGCAATGTTTCAGGGATTCTAGCACTTCTACCAAGTTGGATTACTTCGAGAAAAATGAGATTACCGTGTTCGTATTTTTAGAGCGTGTTGAACAATAATATCATTCCAATTTGAAGCAACCCTAATATGGATCTAGATTGAACTATATAATCGTGCTCCTTAAACTTGCTTGCACTATACTATTATTAGAGTTGAACATGGTTTAATTTAACACCTTATTAAGCCATGTGACGTATCGTATTTTGCTTCTTGGTATCGTTATTATGATTCTAGCATTTTTTTTAGATTTTCAATCCGTGGTTTTTCTTTTTAAAGTTTTGAATAATTTTTTCCCGTAGAAAATTAACCATATTTTATTGTTCTAAAAATAAAAACAAGCACATCATTATGTATTATAATGCGCACTTAATACGTTTTTTTTTATTATTTCTTTTTTAATTGAACGAATGTGTAGTTTTCTTGATAAATACTCAATATAATCACATAATTCTTTGAATTTTTTAAAATATATAAGTCTTTTTAATTATTAAAGCTATTCCTTTTTAAAAAAATCAAACTTCCCGTTTTTAAACCAAAGGTGCCAATTTTCGAACTTTATTCTGGGAAATGTTATTTGAAAGAAAATTAAGAAAAACTAAAGTCGTAACTATGTTTCATATCCAAATAAACACTAGTTTTCCAGTAATTTTCTCTATATATTATTTGAAAAATTTCTATAGACCAGGGGTGGCCAAGCTCCTTGATAGTCGAGCCATTTTTCAAAATGCGAAATATTTCGCGAGCCGCAATTAAATACGTATTTAAAAGGTATTAAAAAAAGTTTCCTTACAGAAATTATATTTATTGAAAGCACATAAATAAAAGTGCAAAATATGTGCATTGATTTTAAATATTATAAATTAAACACATTTATTTTACTTCTCTTGATAATTCTTTAAAATTTTGTTGGAATAATTGGTGACAGCACTTCTCAGTAATTCTTTGAGATGCTGGTTAGTTAATACTGATCGGTGGTCACGAATTTTTAAGTGGAATAAAATTATTCACATAAGTACGTTGTTCCAAATATTGAAATAATTCGACAAGCAGCCTTTTATAATTCAGGATACTTCGATTCTGGTGGAAATTTCCAAAATTCAGTAATCGACGTCGACTTATTTTTTAATTGTAGGGCTTGATCGTTTTGCATCTCTATTAATTCTAATTCTTCAGATGCTTTTTGGGTCGTAATTATATTGGAAATGAAAAACTCACCTTGAATTATGTTAATTTCAAATGGATTCCGAAAAATATTTAAATAGCACAAAAATGAAATGGGAACTTGGATACATTTATCGAGAGCCACAAATAATCCTTCAAAGAGCCGCTGGTTGGCCATCCCTGCTATAGACTAATGCATTTTTAATACATTTAATGTCCTAATCAAATCTTATAAAAATTACCCTTTTCATCAAATGAATCTATGAAGGAAACTGAAATTTTTTGTTATATTTCTTATTATTATTCTTTTAAACACGTAGTGGACGCAAAATGAAAAAGCGAACGCCTTGAAAAACTTTTGATCTAATTATCAGATTTTCATATACTAGAACTCAATCTAAATGGATCGAGGACTTAACCTGAAATATGCTAATTAATTTTTAGTGCAGACGATATTTTAAGTGACGAAATCAGACATCAAAATATACTTTCTCTACATAAGTATACATTTTTTCTGACGGATTCGCTTTCTTGGTTCTCAAAATGGGGGCTTATAATTTAGATTAAAGAATGGTCAAACTTAGTCCCCTTAATGTTAATTTAACGTTTTGCTTGTTTCGCTATATTTCGAGAACTTTTTAACAAGACGAAATTTTTTTATACACTATTATAAAATTCGTTTATCTAACGGAAGTTACACGTAAAAATTAATTTTTAATATGTATTTGTTATTTTTAGTAAGCTATTTAATAACAGTCGAAAAATTTCGAATCGTTATGAATACAAATTCGTTCAAATTTTGTATTTTGTTATTTAAAATTAAATACTTTAAAATGATATAAAAGTTTGTATACCTTACAATTCAAAATTCTTCGACTATCATTAAATAATTAAATTAAAAATAATAAATAATTAGTAAAAATTAATTTTTACATGGAATTATTATTTTTGAATATACAAATTTTATCATTGAGCGCAAAAATGTTTCGATTTGCTTATAACTTCGCGAGACTAGCATAATACTTAAAACATGAAATTATCATTAAGGGGTCCAAACTTTAAACCGCCCTCCTGACCAAACTATCGGGACAATATTTTTCAGACTGCCGCTAGCTCTCCCTTTATTTTGAGGATGAAAAATTCAAATTCGTTCAACGAAAGTACGTTTTTGTGTCTGATTTCGTTAACTTAAAATATTACCTGCTCTAAATATTTAGCATATTTAAGAAGAAGCTCTCGAAACTTAGAGATTGAGGCCTAGTAAGTAAAAATCTGATCATTAAAAATCAAAAGCATAGAGAGCGTTCGCTTTTTTTTATTTTACGCATAGCTGCCATAATTCTACCAGAGTTTTATTAAGATTTTATTTTTATTTTAAGTGATAAAAAAACATGCTTTTCTGTTTCATTCTTGAAAGTATAATTGTAATAAAAATTATTTCAACCATCATTGCATATTAATAAATTAAACATATATCTGAGGCCATGATAATCACACCATGATATATATAAGCTCAGGCAAATTATATAAATGTTTTTGTCAGCAATTGATTTTTCATGACCAGAGAACATTATTCTTCGAAAGAGCAATAGTTGTTGATCATACGGCATAAATACAATTGTATTGCATAAATTAAGTTTAAGCTTTTATCATTATATTAAATAAATCTCTTTGTTTTGTGATCAAAATTTTATTAATTACTAATTAAATCAATAATAATACACGTAATTAGGAATAATTTTTAAATAAAGCAGTGCAACTTTTACAAGTAATTTCACGAAGCCAGCCCTTTTAAATACATTTATCTGCTTTTTTGAATAACGTTAAAGTAAGAATGAATAGGATCTACAAAATCTATAGTCCATAATAAAACTGAATAAGCATTTTCCATAAAGTTTTAAAGCATAATTTTTCTTCTTTTTTTATTATTCAATCCTATGATGAAATCCAATTCTTCCTCTTTAAACCATCTACTAGATTCAGAGACATTCATCTGTAAAATAAGTTTTAAAAGTAATATTATTTGTAAATGGAAATATTTGGTGCAATTAAAAACTAATGAGGCAGAGGCCATTCAAACAAAACTATCTTATTAAGGGATTGTCAGTAAAACGACATCGTCAGTACAACGGGATAAATTCCTAAACAACTGCAGACAATATTTTTATTTTGACGAACTAACCTATGACTCATTATTTATTGAATATTCTTAATATTACTGAACAAATTGCTAAAATGCGTATCTCTCAATCAAGTTCTTATTCTTGAATTACTAGAATTTGGAAGAAAGATTATTAGAAAGTGTCGTATTCAAATTTTGTGTTATCCTGCTGTGTCTAGGATCTGTTTTGCGACCAGATTTTGATACCGTTTCGAGTATTGGTCTTTTACTAAATAATTTTAGTTTGATGCATTAACCTACTGGAATTTGGAAGAATAGAAAGTTTCGTATTCAAATTTTGCGTTATGCTGCTGTGTCTAGGATCTGTTTTGTGACCAGATTTTGATACCGTTTCGAGTATTGGTCTTTTATTAAATAATTTTAGTTTGATGCATTAACCTACTGGAATTTGGAAGAAAGATTATTAGAAAGTTTCGTATTCAAATTTCGTGTTATCCTGCTGTGTCTAAGATCTGTTTTGTGACCAGATTTTGACACCGTTTCGAGTATTGGTCTTTTGCTAAATAATTTTAGTTTGGCGAAACAACCTATGACTCGTTATTTATTGAATGTACCTAATACTACTTACTAAACTAATAGCTGAAATGCGTTTCTCTGAATCAAGTTCTTATTCATGAAATACTGGAATTTGGAAGAACGATAAATATTTTAGAAAGCTTCGTATCAAAATTTTGTGTCATCCTGCTGTGTCAAGGATCTGTTTTGTGACCAAATTTTAATACCGCTTGTAGTTTTGGTTTTATGCCGAAAATATTTTTACACTGCAACGAGCATGACATTTGAAAACACAGCTGAATAATTAGTGACATGATCTGCGCTAGTAGAAAAACAGCATTAACATTTATAGTAAAAAAAATCCTTAATAATACTACGAAATTTCTAGAAAACAGTGATTCCATAAACTTTTTCAAAAGATTTTATAATAATAGTAATGATTTTTTTAAACAGTGTTGATATATTCTGAATGGAATTATTCGAAATTGATAGTTACGTCCGGTTATAGGAGCCAACAAGTGCTATAATAATAGTAATGATTTTTTAAACAGTGTTGATATATTCTGAATGGAATTATTCGAAATTGATAGTTACGTCCGGTTATAGGAGCCAACAAGTGCTAAAATTTTTGGTTTTGGAATCACCTCTAGTTTATTGTTAAGAAATAATATTTCATATTTAGCTTTTTTTACTAATTAGTTTTACTTTTTTTGCTCCCATGACAATTTACTTTTTTTAGCTAATTAGTTTCCATGACATTTAAAGTTCTACAGATTGCAGCACATGTTGTTAGTAAGTTCGTTACCCAGCGTGATTGAAAAACCTCAGCGATTGTAAAAGAATAAATGCCTTAACGAAAATATCAAACATAAATTTTAAACGAACCTACAATTGACTAGGTCGATGTTATGGGAAATATCGACCAAATAGCTGCATAGCTATATAGTTGCATAACTATCCTGACCTTTGAGCAATTGTTTTAAACTAAAAATTTATCTTTGTTAAGAAGAGAATATCTTAAAGACTGATGTCCTGCAATATGGCAGAAAAGGTCACAATCCAAGTGCCTAAATCGCTAAAATCCTCAGCAATTACAAATGTATAACGTAGAAACGATGAAGAGCTTCGATGGTGCCAAATTTCTAAAGTAATACTTCATTCTCATTTGATTGTAAGAATTTTATTACATTTTTTTCTCCAAAAATATTGTTGAAAAATTTACTCCCCACATAAACAAAAATACCTCAGCAGCCGAATGTGGTTTCCACCAAAAGTTTTGAAGCGTTGAGGTAGCAAGTTCGATTCCCTGAATGTCCTGGTTCTGATGTCCTTCTGTTATTTACGATATCTGTTCATCAATTTAAACTGGGCTTCTACGATGCTAAGACGCTCAATTTTTCGTATTTATGTAGGAAAGAATGAAGCCTATATTAATTAATTTGATATTTCATTGATACAGCTCCCACATGTTTTCATGCGACAATTTCTTAAGTGAAGAAACAGTAATATCAACCGAAAGACAATGGGTTGGCATTAGCCGTTAGAACAGCACCATTCAATTCCTCATCATGCCTCAGCCTCCATACCTCAGCAGCCGAATGTGGTTTCCACCAAAAGTTTTGAAGCGTTGAGGTAGCAAGTTCGATTCCCTGAATGTCCTGGTTCTGATGTCCTTCTGTTATTTACGATATCTGTTCATCAATTTAAACTGGGCTTCTACGATGCTAAGACGCTCAATTTTTCGTATTTATGTAGGAAAGAATGAAGCCTATATTAATTAATTTGATATTTCATTGATACAGCTCCCACATGTTTTCATGCGACAATTTCTTAAGTGAAGAAACAGTAATATCAACCGAAAGACAATGGGTTGGCATTAGCCGTTAGAACAGCACCATTCAATTCCTCATCATGCCTCAGCCTCCATACCTCAGCAGCCGAATGTGGTTTCCACCAAAAGTTTTGAAGCGTTGAGGTAGCAAGTTCGATTCCCTGAATGTCCTGGTTCTGATGTCCTTCTGTTATTTACGATATCTGTTCATCAATTTAAACTGGGCTTCTACGATGCTAAGACGCTCAATTTTTCGTATTTATGTAGGAAAGAATGAAGCCTATATTAATTAATTTGATATTTCATTGATACAGCTCCCACATGTTTTCATGCGACAATTTCTTAAGTGAAGAAACAGTAATATCAACCGAAAGACAATGGGTTGGCATTAGCCGTTAGAACAGCACCATTCAATTCCACAACTGATTGACTTTCAGTACGGATAGAAAACCAAGTTAATACGCAGAATACATTCGTACTTTTAGGAACACTAACAAAAGTTTTAGCTTTCTTTTAGAATAAAAGGTTATAAGTTGGTTGATTGATTTGATTTATTGAAATTACATACATTTGCTGACTTGTGTGCTCAATATAGGCTTATAAGTCATTGTCAAGTAGAAAATACAGATAGAACAATTCAGAGAAAGACATCACAAAGAATACATCCAGGGTTACGGCGGGATTCGAACCCGCTACCTCCACGCTTATCAGAGCGTTTGGACCGGCGATACCGCTCGGCCAGGGAGGCCCCGTTATAAGTTGGTCTTGATTCGATCGTAGATCATGCTTGTATTTGAAGTAGGTAAATATTTTCCCGGGTGCTCCCTGGCCGAGCTGTATCACCCGCCAAACGCTGTGTGGAGGTTCCAGGTTCAAAACCCGCTGTTACCCTGGGTGTATCTTCGTGTTATCCTTCTCTGTATTGTGCTATCTGTCCTATATGATAAAGGTTTATAAGCCTTAATTGAGCACACAAGCCTGCAAATGTATGTTGTGCCAATAAATAAATAAATATTCTCCCGTAGGAAACGCTGATCAGCCTTAAGAAACCAAAAATCTATACTAAAATTTCTATACTAATATTTAAAAAGTAACTGCTTTATCTTTTCTAATTAATTATTTTTAGAATAGAAATTTCGTACTTTGATTCTCTAACAGAAATAGTTTTTAAAAGGTAAAGAGGTGGATTTTCGAATGTTCTTTTAGAAATTTTGCTATCAGCTATTTTTTTTTTTTTAATTTCTCGAGGACACTGATCAACTTACTGTAGGAATGATGAGATGTTAGGAGATGGTTCAACAGTTCAAGTTCTGAACATGTCATTTGAAAAAAATTAAAATTGCATTTCACTTTGTCTTTTCGAAGCCAAAAAATAATTTAACCAATTATCAATCAATCAATGTTTAATCTGCGTGTAAATTCTGGATCTTTTTCCTATCGTTCATTTTATATAGTTTTTGGTTTGTGCTCTTTCCAGCTGAGAATGAAATCTTACAGATTATTGACTGATTGTAAGAGTATTGATTTTAAAATTGTTGCATAGTTATAGCATGAGAAATGTATTATAAGAGTTTAAGATATTGTGTGATACGATGTGTTCTCTTAAAGTTACTGTTTTGAGGAGAATAGTCGAAGTAAGTATTTTGAAATTTTGTTCATAAATATTGCTTTTGGCATTATTTAACTGTTTATTCGCTTTTCAATTAGACAGCTTAATGAAAGAGGGTTAAGCAACATTCTGAAAATATGCAAAGTTTTGAAGTTAAATTTATTTTACAGTCCGTAGTGTGCATGGAACCTACATTTTCTGCCAAATTCATAAGTGATTTTTAGTGGAAAAATATATGTCGTATAAGCCATCCTGTTGTTGATATATATTCCATAGCTGATGTTCCTAAGTATACTAAAATATTACTTTGAACCTTCTTCCACAAAGATTTTCAATAATAAAATATACTTAAGGATCTCTGGTTTGAAAGCTTGAGTATACTTGCTTGAAAGCTTGAGTATACTTGTTTGAAAGCTTGAGTATATAAAGCTTGAGTTTGAAAGCTTGAAGTATACTAAAATATTACTTTGAACCTTCTTCCACAAAGATTTTCTATAATAAAATATACTTAAAGATCTCTGGTCTGAAATTACAAAATTTTGAAAAAAAACAAAATTAAAAAATGAAATTTTTAGAAAACAAAATTAAAATTGTTCACTTCAACTGTATCCTTGTAGTGTACATGATGTTTATAGGGGGGATGTTTTCCTCGAAGTCGTTTTAAAATTGCAAAATGAATTATAACGATCGATGGAGTCTTGTAATAAGTAGCCCGAATAAGCCGTCACCTGCAGCCCATTATGCAACTCTAGTGTGACGCAAATAGAGTACTACTACTACAGTTCTTATTTCTTCATCCAAAAACATTATCATGAAGCCCTGCATTTTTTGGAAGTTCAATTTTTATTTATTGCTTTTATTTATTACTACGATAGCAGCAAGCTCACATATTTAACCTATTCGTTGTCTATTTATTTGAATTCCAAATTAAAAGGGTCCCGCAGTGAGCTGATCGTAAAGACACGGTTTCGAATTAAGCACCACTGGCTGCGGTTAGTAAGCGGGTGGGTGACCACTTTGATTATCCTGCGTAAGGACCAAGGGTGCACGGTATCGGTCCTCGTGAAACTGCTCTATCGTAAAGTGCTCGACGTAGAGCGCAGGTCGTCGGGCTACCAAAGCAGGAGAGCCATCCCCTCTGCAGAGGATAAATATTGCAAAGGCATGTCTTCGGATCATCCTCAGGTATGTTTCTCAGACCGTCGCCAATAGCCCATTGTTCAGACGTAAATAAAGTACCTAACTAACAAATTAAAATCAAGTAAGTTTTTGATTGCGGATTATTAGTATTTTTAATAAAGTAATTACAAAATCAGACTTGATATCTACATTGAACTCATTGTTGTTTATATAATGCAATAGTTATCACTGCATTATCGATTTTTGAAATAAATTGATCGAATATTTTTGTTACCATTTTTCATTTATTTAAAATAAAAACACAATGAGTCTCTCTTATCTATCGAGATGATTGCATTACGGTCTGCTCTTTACTATAGTTTCTGTAAAAAAAAAATTTTTTTTCCTTAATAAAAAGAAGTTTCTGTTTATTTTTGTAAAGAATTTCAAGTTTACTTCTCTTCACGGTAGAAGCATTAAATTATAGCTTCTTTCAAATTCAGTTTCAAGCATAATTTAGAATATTCAAACATGCAATAGAACAATCAAGATATTTCCCATTTGAAAGAAAAGCACTTTTTAGTAAGACGCTGGAGCAGTCAATATTTATAACACCTACAATATTCAAAGGGTTTCATATATTTGGCGAGAATATATATTTTGACAAAGCACTTCAAGTTTCTATAGTCGGTTTTTCTTTTGCTAGACCTGACAAACTATATTCTAAAATATTTCTGAAGCCTTCAAATCAATAATGATTTCTTAGAAAATTTACAACTAAAGAAAATATTTCCTTTTCTTAGTTGCAATATAATCTATTAAAAAAATATGAAAATAGTTTATATATTATTTAATGATAATCTTCTATTTTTTAAGAGCCAAAAGGCAAACTTTTAAATTTCGACGCAATCTTTATACACGTTTTGTCTACATATTGATTTCTATTCTGTCAATTTGCATCTTAATTAATTGCATGAAGTTGTAAATACCTAAATTGAGCTAATGTTGCTATATTTTTTACACTCATAAATTTTATGAACTTAGCTAAGAAGTTATGCTACAAAAGATTTATATCGAGACAGGATAGTGCAATAAAAACAGTAATCTGTGGCAAATTTGATTTAGGGGAAAGCAATAAAAAAACAGAAAAGAAAGTTGTAATTTTGTTCATGTTATTTGTAGTGTGCCCAGAATACCATATTTATTAATCGATAGATATTAGTTATTCGTTAGCGATATAAGTTCCATTTTTTCTTCGAATTTCCACTTCGAACAGTTAAACTAATACATCTATTTCTTTGATTTACCGTAAAGTTTTAATTCGAATTACATTTGATATAGCCAGGTATTTATTGTCTACCGTCAGAGCTGAAATTAAATAAAAGTGATTTTGTAAAATATTCAAATTGTCACTTGATTTATTAGTTTTTATTAAAGCATTTATTTTAATTCTTGATGAATACTTCAGAAATTTTTCACTGACCTGATTGAAATCTAAGTTTAAAGCCAATACGCTATAAATAATGTAAAACAATGTGAATAAAGCATAAATAAAGGTAAACGAACAAACCATAGCTTTGGTTTTATAAAGAAGGACATTCTTTTAGTGTCTAAACACAAAATGACTGAAGAAATTTAGCAAGACATTTCAGTTGCAACAGGAAAAAAGTTCTTTAACTGGTAGGAGAAAATGTTGCTTAGTAAAACGTATTTGTCGCTTTACTTTTCGACCATGATTTTGAGATTAGACATTAAGGCTATAGTAAGTATAGAAGCCGCATCTTTCTGTACCCTTATTTGTGCTTTATTCACTTTGCTTTGTTATTTTCATACGTAGCACAAGGTGTACCCTATCTTTATTTTCACAAAGCGCTATAATCTGTCTCAGTTTTCCCTCGAAATTGAAATAGGGAAAAAATTGTAAGTGCATATTAAATATTTTGCAATGTTCTGGAGAGAACAAAAGTGACCAATTTTCATGTTTATATATTTTATAGAACTTCAAAAGTTTATGTTTAGTTACCAGTTTCGAAAGTTCGGCTAAGGAAAAAATTAAGTGCCTATGCTAACCTTTCGAGCTCGATGAACCTAAAATTGAGGTTCATTAATTGTTTACCCTCCTGAGTTCCAAGCTTAAAATAATGGTAAAAAATATGATTTTTACTACGAAATATATAGAAGTAAATTCATAAAGGCTACAAAAATTTTCTTAAATCAATTAAGTAAGCTTATTTAACTTTTTTAGTTATTTTTAAATTATTACATAAAAATATTTATACCATTTTTTTCTCATTGAATAATAAATCATTGCACAAATCAGGGAAACGTTACCTGATACGATTTTTTTTTATTTCTTGTTGTCTTTTCTAACTTTTCGTTTCCAAGTTGGATCAGCACCTCCCAGAAGAGAGAAGGTCTCCGCACTGACCACTTCAGCAACCGGAAGTACTGAACATAAACTGCGTTATGGGTGATATCTTCCCAACTCCGAAACTGCGCAGTGAGAAAAAATAAGAACAATGTCACGAAGTTCGATCTGAAGGATCGGATTTCTCGTTTATGGTAAACCGTGGACAGGCTTTCTCTCTTACGAGATCTTGGTTGGACAGATACTGACTAATATAAGCTAAATTAAGGTTATTTAACACAGGAATTATCGAAATTTTCATAATTGGTCGTTTTAGATTGATTTCTTTTCCTTTTTACCCTTTATGCGACCAACTTTGTTATTAAAAAACATGTTTTGGAAAACTATACTTTTCCCAAACGTTCAGTTTTTGAGGGAAAGGAAATTATTCTATACAGTTACACTAGTTCTAAAAATTTCATATTTGAAAAACAATTTCTTCCTGGTGCTAAAAATCTGCAAAAGGATTATTTTCTTTTCGAATTTAACTTGTCTAAATTAAAGTCGATATTAGTTTTTTGTCTGAATTAATTTTATTTTATAACCGTCGTTGAACAGCCACCCAATTTTATGGGTTTACAACTACTAATGTTCAACTCCGTTGCCTTATAATTTTGAACCCAATCTAGAAGACAAGGGAACTCCTCGGTCGAGTATTGGGAGAAATTTTGCCTTCTTAAGGACTTTTTGATAGAGCTAACTCGCATTTGCGTTACATGGAGAGGAAGACCACGAGAAACCCCTACGGTTAGCCTGACGGCAAGGGGACTCTAACCCATGATCCGCCTACCACTGAGGATATTTCACGTCAGCACTGCGGTCGGTGCAAGCCGGATGCGGAATTCGAACCCAGTTCGCCTCATTGGAAGACGAACGCTCTATCCCCTGAGCCATTGCGACTCTTGTCTGAATTAATTCTAATTATTCAGATTCCTAATTATTGAGGACAACATCCCTCGACATATATCTATCGTCCATTGCCACCCTCTTTGTCCTCTTTCCCCCATGGCACCCATGGCAAATTATTTCTTTCATACAAGTTTATCGTATTAAAGCAACTGTAAAACAAATCTATTCAAAAGCATAACTAAGAAATATTTAATATTAGAACTCTTCAAAACTAAAACTCATACTAAAACGTGAGATCATTTTCAAAACTAAATTCTTCCCATGCTTCTGGAGTAGATTTCTACGAAAAAGAAAACATCTTCTCAAAGTACATAAAAGTTTTTTTCCACGCAATTTAAACCTTCACTAGATTGTTAACATTTGGCGTACTTGCAAATGAGTCAAATTTTGGATGAACAAAACTAAAACTTTAGTAAAGATAGAAATCGATCTTTTTGTAGAAAAAAAATAAAGAAAATATTACCTTTTCCCGTTCTTCAACATTCTTTGAAGCACCAGAGCGCGATTTTTTTCATGGGCTTTACTCCATAAGTAGTCAGTCAGATCCATTCCCATTGCTGTTTGAGAAGACAGAAATGTGACTAAAAAAAGATAACGAAGCACTTGTCACAAAAGTACTAAGCACTTCGTAATTAAAGTCGCGTCTCAATTAGACCTCAATATCTAAACTTTTATTAATCGTCTCAGTTAGACCTCAATATCTAAACTTTTATTAATCGCCTCGGTTAGACCTCAATATCTTAACTTTTATTAATAGTCTCAATTAGACCTCAATATCTAAACTTTTATTAATCGTCTCAGTTAGATCTCAATATCTAAACTTCTATTAATCGTCTCAATTAGACTTCAATATCTAAACTTTTATTCTCAATTTTTCAAATTTTAATTTTTTATTCCTGGAATTTTAAAAACTAATTAATGTTCGATTAATAAAATTTTTGCCTTCATTAAGCCTATCCAGGCCTGATTACCAGAATTTGTAGATATTTAATTTATAAATTTCTAGATTCAGTACTTAATTTCTATTTTAGAAAATTCAGCTTACATTTAGTTTCGAATTCATTAGATAATTTTTTTCTTTATCACAATGAATAATTTTTTAACCATTCGATTTCTTCAAGTAGAAGATTTTCTGCTAATTTTTTAAATCATTTTTATGATTTTGTTGCGCTTTTAATTTTCATTATCTAACCAACGTGACTTATTGTACTGTTAAAGTTAACCGTTCACTCGCCTATGTTCTAAGAATGGAACATAGATTTAAAGTTTAAATTTAACGAGCAATTATAGTCTAACTAAAGTAAATATTTTTTTATTATTTATTTTAGTTAGAGTTTAGTAATATAACTAAACATTATTTTTTGCATGTATTTAAAATTTCCATTATGAATTATTTTGTAATTAAGTTTGTATCCGTTTTATACTTTATTTATTTTCTATTTTTTTATGAATTTCTGAAGCTTGATATAATTAGTGAATTTTACTCTCACATGTAATCTAAGTAACCGAAAATCCAATTTTTATAAGAAAAAAATAATACTCGTAAATATTTAAAAGGGCAATGTAATTAATTTAAATTATGTTTTAAAATTTTAAAGTTAAAATATTAGTTCAAAACCTTATGTTCCATTTTTGGAACATTGACGTTTCAAGATTTCTGTTTTTTTTTTTTTTTTGTTTTTTTTTTTATTNTTTTTTTCGTTTTTTTTTTTAATTCATGTAACACATTGAGTTATATAGTATGTATTTCATTTATTTGTTATTCTGACACTTATTTAGGCAAAATAATGATGTTGAAATAGAAAAAAATCATATATTTTACTTCTTTTGAACATGAAGGTTAGGAACATGAATTTTCTTGTGGCTGACAAGTGATATTGACAAGGACTTTTGCAATACCTAGTAATGTATGATTCATTCTGATAGTATTTTCAAAACTTCATCAAACTTACATCAAAACTTTGACAATACATTAAAAATTCTATCTTGTGAGATTGTTGCCTTCATGGGTGTTATCTTTCTTTTAAGTTGACTGTAATAGATCTAAAATTTAACATTACATGCATTATTTGCATGCGTTTGTTACGATGCAGAATAGATGATTAATATTATTTCCGAAGTTTTACCGCTGAGTTAAAGAAAATTTTTGTACTTTTTTGTTTTGTACTTTTCTGTTTGTTGCTAATACAACAGCCCTAGTATAGCAGTATTAGACATGTCGAAGAAATGTCTAATACTGCTATACTAGGGCTGTTGTTGTAAGCTAGATTTTATGCAGCAAATTACGTAAAAAGACAAAAAAACTTCTCATTAGAAGTTTAGAAGACCATATACAATTAGTTTCTTGCGAAAACAAGAGCGTATTTTTTATCGTCATGTTTTTTGCAGTAATTCAAAATGTGTATTAATAATAAATGTGTGCTATCGGATGGTCATTATTTGTTTCTACAGCACAATGTCTCCGTGAAAAAATACCATCAAAAGTGTTTTCAATGTAAAAAGTGCTTGCATTAAAATTATTATTCATGTAGGTAATAAATAATGTTATTTTAGTTATCAATATAAGGGATATTTTTAAGGCCAAAAACGCAATTGTTTTTCTACCGATGTTAACAAAAAGCAATAATTGTAGTATATCAAGTATTATTACTTATTTAAATCCCTTTTTTATTTATTTTCTTCTTTGAAAATAGGTAAAATAAACTGCTGCCACACATCGGTGTCCCAAAAATAATACGTCGTTAAAAACACATTTTAAAAACCGAAAGACACACAACATTATTTTATTGTTTTATTCTATTCCATTCACAAAATGCGCACTTATCATTTTACAAGCTATTTGGGTAATCCTTTTTAAATTAGGTGTGTAAGCTATTTAGGATATTAAGTATAGGGAAGAGTGTTGAATAGGACTGGGCGATATAAGAAATTTTATATCGTGATGCATCGCCAGTTTTGCATCGCGATATAGCGATGTATCGCGATATAGTATTTTTAAAATTCATTTACTTGTAAGGCGCAGAAAGTCGGATTTCTATCAAAACTTCATACTCAAATTGATTTAAATCAATTTATGAATTTGATGTAGTATATGTTTTGCTTAATAAAGATATTAATGTTATATTTTCTAAAGAGGATCGCGCAAACAACGAAAGATTTCTTAGTTTAAAAATAAATAATAAAAAAATAAATAAAATTTAAATTTATCAATATATTTACCTAACAATATAGAAAGAAATTTAAAAAATAAGTTCGTTAAAAATTATTTGTATGCTTAATACAAAGTGCTAAATAAATTTAAAAAAAAAAAAACACTTTTAAAACAACACTATTTTTTATCATTATTGTTTCACATAAATAATAAAGTTAAATTGAATAATTGCCGAATTCTGAACGAAAAAACAAAGTAAGGTTTAATTTCTTAAAAATAAAAACAAAGGAATTACGATATTCGATTATATATTCAACTGACAATATTGAGAGAAAATTAAAAAAAACACGATTATACTCTTTAATAAAGCGAAGTGCTAAATGATTTTAAAAAACGAAGTCGCAATCGCAAACATTACTAATTTTTTTGAATAAACAAAGTTGATTGACTAATGTCCAAATCCAAAAGAGGAAAAATAAGTTTTGCTATAATTTTATTTATAAAAACGAAAAGAACTAAAGATTTATAAATTTAAAATCAGTAATAAAAACCCATTAAATTATTATTTTATCCAAAAAGCTTTTAATAAATTAAAATAAAGTAAAAAATAGCCTAACAAATTTAATTACTTTTTAATTTAATTCTTTATGGGCACCTTAAATTAGATTTCCGTTTGTAATAAATTAAAAAATGTAAAATAATACTTAAACATATAATATCAAAATTAATTTTCACATTTGAAAATGAAAAAGAAAGTTTTGTTTCAAAAAAAATTTACATAATTAATTAAGAAACACTTCTTTATATATTCTTCAGATTACGTTCAGAACACGGTAACGACGGCGATCACAAAGTCAGTTCCACTGAAAATAATCTACAAGATACGATATGAAGTCGCGACAAAGAAAAAAAAACTAAGAGGTGCGGAAACGAACATGCGAGATCACGATATATGTTCTCAAAACTGATTCTGATTCTACCGCTCATCCATCGAGGCCGTTTCAATATAACGATACGTACATCGTCTTCCCCAGTGCGAGTTGGCATCGGAACGTAAGAGATCCTTGCGTGTCTTGTATCGCTATATCGTATATCGCTAAATCGTTCGTCTTCTTTACTCGACGGCTTAAATTAGATTTCTGATGCATTGCCTGGAACGAAAGTCACTGTTTCGGCCTGCCGATACAGGCGTTAAATCGATATGTCGCGATATATCGATTTATAGCCCAGTCCTAGTGTTGAATCTAAGACAGCAACCTCCTGCCAAACACCATTGTTCCAAAAGTAGAACATCGTTTGAAACACTATTTTATTTTTTATTCTCTTTAGATATTCTCCAAAAGTGTACTTATCATTTCACAAGCTATTTGGGCAGTCTTCTTTTTTTAATTTGGCATGTAGACTGTAAATGATATTAAGTATGGAGAAGTGTGAACCTAGGGCCGTATGCAACTCGGATCAGTGAAAATATTTGCACTAACTTGAGAAAAGAAAACCGATACAATTAATGATTGATACCTGTAATTGCACCTGTTACAGTTTTAAGCCTGTTATACGTACTATTTTCAGTGTTGGTGACCATTTTTTCCAGGCATGTGCTATTTTTTTTTAAAACTTTTCCAGCTGGTGAACAAATTTTTTTAATCAAATTTATCGGAAAATAAAACTCAGTTGGAACTAAAGTAGATAATTAGCGAAATGTCATTCTCCTTAAAGCAAAATACCGTATTTTTAATTAAAAAATTACTTATTTTTCTAAAGCTTTTTGTAAAAAATGTATATTTGTTATACCTTGGACCAGTCTAAGATATGTGCAAATAGTGCTTCTGATTGATCCTTAGTTAAAATAGCTTTCCTATGGTCTTAGTCACTAGCAACACGTAAACATTTGAATGCTCTTAGTAAATCTATACGTTTTAGGTATATGTTAATAAAATATTATTTAATATTATGTTTATGATTAATTTGATTTATTTTAGCTTGGGCAAACTAGTTAAAAGTGTCAATAAAAATAAATTTTAATTGCATGAATGATGAAATTTCATCAACTAGCAAATGTTGAAGAAAACAATCTCAAAAGAGTTATTCAAAGTGTAAGATTTAGTAGTCTGTGGTACAATATATGATGGTCCAAGATACAAGGGGTGGACAAAATAATGGAAAGAATTCTATACTAATTCACTTTTTCATATTTCTTAAGAATTTCTTAGAGAATCATTGGACCGACAATAAATAGTGCTTTTTGACACCCTATGCCAGAAAATGTCATAAAGAATTTGTAACTTGTAACAATTATTTTGGTTATTATATGTAATAATTGCACAACATTTCGTAAGCCTAACTTAAATATTTATAAAGGTAGACTATGTTTAATAAAAAATCAATTTTTTTTGTCTTTCATTTTTT